GTGGTCATGATATTGCTGGAAAATTATATTGGCATATTCAACTTGTTGTTAATAATTGGTTAATGTTAGAAGGACATTCAATTGGCATTGCTGATACAATTGCTGATCAACAAACATATGAAACAATTCAAGCAACAATTAAAAAAGCAAAAACTGAAGTACACAAAGTTATTGAAAGAGCACATAGAGATTCATTAGAACCATCACCAGGAAATTCATTAAGACAAACATTTGAAAATATGGTTAATGGTTTATTAAATAGTGCTCGTGATAATACAGGTTCATCAGCTCAAAAATCTTTATCGGATTTTAATCAATTTAAAGCTATGGTTATTAGTGGTGCAAAAGGTTCATCAATTAATATTTCACAAGTTATTGCTTGTGTTGGACAACAGAATGTTGAAGGAAAACGTATACCATTTGGTTTTAAACATCGTACATTACCACATTTTGTTAAAGATGATTATGGACCAGAAGCAAAAGGTTTTGTTGAAAATTCTTATTTACAAGGTTTAACACCTGCTGAATTCTTTTTTCATGCTATGGGTGGTCGAGAAGGTTTAATTGATACAGCTGTTAAAACAGCTGAAACTGGTTATATTCAACGGCGATTAATTAAAGCTATGGAATCTGTTATGATTAAATATGATGGAACTGTACGAAATCAAATTGAACAATTAATTCAATTTACATATGGTGAAGATGGTTTAGCTGGTGAAAATGTTGAATTTCAACAAATAATAACATTAAAACCAGCAAATAAAGTCTTTGAAAATTTATGTAAATTTGATTTATCATCAGGTGAAAAAGATTTAAGAAAATATTTAACTGATGATGTTATAAGAGATTTATATACAAATGAATCATTACAAATATTAGATGACGAATGGAAACAATTAAATGAAGATAGAACTAATCTTAGATATATTTATCCAACTGGTGATGCATCAAAAATTGTTTTACCTTGTAATTTAGAAAGATTAATTTATAATGCAAAAAAAACATTTAATATTTCAAATCGAACACAATCAAATTTATCACCAATGGAAGTTATTCAAGGTTTACAAAGATTAACACAACGTCTTGTTATTGTCAAAGGTGATGATCGTTTATCACGTGAAGCACAAAATAATGCAACAATGTTAATGAATATATTATTACGTTCATCATTATCATCTCGTCAAGTTCTACAAGTTCATCGTTTAACTGATGAAGCATTTAATTGGCTTTGTGGTGAAATTGAAACACGTTTTCAACAAGCACAAGTTCAATCAGGTGAAATGGTTGGTGCATTAGCTGCACAATCACTTGGTGAACCAGCTACACAAATGACATTAAATACATTTCATTATGCTGGTGTTTCAGCTAAAAATGTAACACTTGGTGTTCCACGTCTTAAAGAAATTATAAATGTTTCAAAAAAACCTAAAACACCATCATTAACTGTTTATTTAACTGGTCAAGCAACAAATGATGCTGAAAAATGTAAACAAGTTTTATGTCGTCTTGAACATTGTACATTAAGAAAAGTAACTGCAAATACAGCTATTTATTATGATCCTGATCCACAAGAAACAGTTATATCTGAAGATCAAGAATGGGTTAATACATATTATGAAATGCCTGATCAAGATATAACAAATATATCACAATGGTTATTAAGAATTGAATTAGATCGTAAAAGAATGACAGATAAAACATTAACTATGGAACAAATATCTGAAAAAATTTCACAAGGTTTTGGTGATTGTCTTAATGTTATATTTAATGATGATAATGCTGAAAAACTTGTTTTACGTATACGTACGGTTGATCAAAGTAAAACATCAAGTGGTGATGAAGTTGAAGATACAACACGAATGGATGATGATACATTTCTTCGTTGTTTAGAATCTTCAATGCTTTCAGATTTAACATTACAAGGTATTGATGCTATATCAAAAGTTTATATGGTTAATCCTAAAGTTGATGAATCAAAAAAACGTATTCAAATAAATGAAAATGGTGAAATTGAAAAAATAGCTGATTGGATGTTAGAAACAGATGGTACAGCATTAAAAAAAGTTTTATCAACAAAAGATGTTGATTCACGTCGAACATTTACAAATGATGTTGTGGAAATATTTGATGTACTTGGTATTGAAGCTGTACGAAAAGCTATTGAACGTGAAATGAATCATGTTATTTCATTTGATGGTTCATATGTTAATTATAGACATTTAGCTTTATTATGTGATGTTATGACAACAAAAGGACATTTAATGGCTATTACAAGACATGGTATTAATAGACAAGATGTTGGACCTATTATGAGATGTTCATTTGAAGAAACTGTTGATGTTTTAATGGAAGCTGCTGCACATTCAGAATCTGATCCATTGAAAGGTGTTTCAGAAAATATTCTTCTTGGACAATTAGCTAAAATTGGTACGGGATCATTTGATTTATTATTAGATGTTGAAAAATGTGCAACTGCAATGGAATTACCAATGAATTTTGCTCAAGATACATTTAATGAAATGATGAGTGGTGCAGCAAGAAGAGAATTTGAACAACGTGATAGACATGGTGTTGAAACACCTTGGATTGGTTCATTATCAACAACACCATCACATTGGCCATCAACACCAGCACAAATGACACCAATGGGACAAGGTGGTTTTTCACCTTCAACAGTATCTGATTCAATTGGATTTTCACCAGCTTATTCACCTGGTTATCCATCATCACCCGGTAATATGTCACCATCACCTTATACAAATGTTCAATCACCATCATCACCATCCAATTATCATCCACAATCACCAGGAAGTTATGCTGTTACATCACCATCTTATTCACCTAATTCACCAAGTTATTCTCCAACATCACCAAGATATGCATCGAATGATATTTATGGATCTAAATCACCTCATTATAGGTATGTTTTCTTTTCATCTTTTTCTTCTTTTTAATATTATTAAAATAATTTTTAGTCCAACAAGTCCATCATATAGTCCTGCAACAAGTCCAACCTATTCTGGTAGTGGTCCAAAACAAGGTTCAACATCACCATTTTATTCTCCAACAAGTCCATCATATAGTCCAACATCTCCATCTTATAGTCCAACATCACCATCCTATTCACCAAATCGATCCTATTCTCCAACATCACCTACATATTCAGTTCAAAGTCCAGTAGTAAATAATCAAGCTGCTGGAAATCAAGGTGAAATTTATTTTATAATTTTTCCTTTGAAAATAAATAATTTCTTTTTGTTTTAGGAGCTTATCGTACATCACCAAAATATAGTCCAACAAGGTAAATATTTAAGAAAAATAATTTATATAATATATATAATTAAATAATTTTGTCTAGTCCAAGTTATTCTCCATCATCTCCATCATATTCTCCAACAAGTCCAGGCTATTCTCCATCATCACCTGGTTATTCTCCATCAAGTCCACGTAAGAAAGAAACTTCTATCTATTTTATATCAAATCATATATTTATAGGTTATTCACCTTCATCACCTGGTTATTCAACTCATGGTCCATCACCAAAATATTCTCCATCATCAAAATATTCACCTCAAAGTCCATCCTATTCTCCATCAAGTCCTTCATATAGTATGTTAACATTTTTTTTTCTCTATTCAAAAATATTTTTTGTTATTTTCTTTTATTTTTAGCACCAACAAGTCCATCATACAGTATGTATTTTAAATTTAATAAATTAAAATTAAATCTAAATTTTCCTTTTTTTCTTCTTAAGGTCCAACATCTCCAACATACAGTACGTATATATATTAACTAAATTAATAAATATTTCTTAAAATCTAATTAAAGGTCCAACATCTCCAACCTATTCTCCACAATCTCCATCAGGACCATCAACACCATCATACAGTAAATTAATTCAAATAAATATTTATTTTATTTAACTATTCTCTTTTCCTAGGTCCAACATCTCCAACATACAGTCAGTTTATTTTTTATTTAATAATAATAATACTAATAGTGAAATAATTTGTCTAGGTCCAACATCGCCAACATATTCTCCAAGTGGTCATGGTGGTAGTAGTGCATCACCAACATATTCTCCTACTTCACCAACTTATTCTCCAACTTCTCCGCAATATTCTCCTACATCACCACAATATTCTCCTAGTTCACCAGTTTATAAACCTTCAGGTAGTCAATCTGGTTATACATCATCACTTTCACCAACATCACCACAATATAGGTTTGTTATTGATTTGTATTTATATATTTTCGAAATAATTTCATTTATTTTAGTCCAACATCCCCAACATATTCTCCAACACAGTCATCACCACGTTATAGGTATATAATTCGAATTTATTTTCTTTTTGTTTTTTAAATTTTTCTTTTTCTATTTGTTTTTAGTCCAACATCTCCAATCTATAGTCCAAATGTTGGTTCACCTCGTTATAGTCCGACATCTCCTCAATATTCACCTCAATCTCCCGCATCATCAACAATATCTTCATCAATATCATCACCACGTACACATGATGATGATGATTTAAATGATAATGGAGATCTTATGGATTAGAATATAGAAATTTAAAAAAAAAAGGACTTTGTATATTTGTTTATTGAAAAAGAAAAGCAGAAAAGTTTTTTTTTTCTTCTCATTGCTCGTAAATAAAAGATGACACATTCACTTGTAAATAACTTTTTTTTTTCAAAAAAATATTTAATTGGTAATAAACAAAAATTATTTAGGTGATTAGAATATCATTGAAAAGAATGTGAACGAAAAACATCTGATGATTCAAAAGAAAGAGAGAGAGAGAGAAAAAAAGGAAGAGAAAGAAAAACTAATATGACGATGAATAAGTATGTGTATATATTAATCAAAAGAAACTACTCGGTCAAACAGGAATGATAGAGAAACGTGATCGAATGTTATCTTTTGATAGTTGATAGTTGGCGAAACTTGATTTATTACGAATAAAAAGAAAAAAGCAACGTTATTTTATGTAAGTGAATAAATGGGGAACGATACACGTTTTATCGAAGCTGAAGATTTACCATTTCGTTTAATTGAAACTCCCGTTGGATCAGCTCCTCCACCACCTTCTCCACCTACTCGTAAACATCATACACATTATAAACGTCATGCTCCACCGCCTCCACCACGGATTGATGGATATGATGCACCTCCATCACTACTTCCTCCTCCAATAGTACCAAAACGTTTTGATCAACCATCACCACGTACTATTCCTCAACGAACTGATTATTCACAATTTAATTCAAAGAAAATACATTATCATTCAAGAAAAATTCCAAAATCAAAATTAGCATGCTGTGTTCTATCGTAAAGAATTTTTTATATTTTATTTAATCCATTTTTATGTACAACATATTTTCATTTGTTTTTATTAAAGATAATCTATGATATTGAATTATAATTATTTAAATACTCATTTTATTTCAAAATAAAAAATCTAAACAATCATTCATAGGTAGTTCTTTTGATTGTTGACTGAATTTAGTTTCAAGTTTGTTTGTCACATCTGATTCAATATAACATACGTCACTATTCTATAATACTTTCATAAAATCAATTTCTTTCGTTCGTGAGTCAATACAATTATTTGCATTCAATTTTATACTTAGTTTAGATTTTTCATATATTTATAACAAATGAAAATTTCAATACACAACAAAACAAGAAATACAACAAAATAAGAAATACAACAATTATTTATTTTTTCCATTTGGAATTTTTTCATCTTCATAAGTCCATCCTGCAGTAGTATATCCACATATAGAACCTGATATACTACCAGCACAACCACTACTAACAATTCCTATTGTTGTACTAACAATTGTAGCTCCAATTGCACCTCCTGCCAATCCACCTACTGCAGCTCCAGTAATACCACCCGCTAATTGACCTGTAGCCTTATTTTTATCAGTGATATATTTGGCTGCTAAACCAAATAAACCACCAGTAAAAGCACCTATCACAAGCGCATTTGGTAAAGGATTCAAAGCCATATGGTTTAATTTATCTAATAAAATAATAAAATATTATTTAATAGGAAATAACGAACTCAGAAAATATTTAATTCTTATTACAATCAGTTGTATTCCTATCTTTCATTAAGAAATAATGTTAAACTTACCTAATTTCTTCGTGGAAAATGAGAAATTGTTTGTCGATATATTATTAAAAGATAGCAAAGAAGGAAAATGTATATCTATATATATATATATGATACAGCCCAAATTAAAATTTCGATTCTGACTAGGCCAAATTGAAATTTTAATTCTGACTAGTCCAAAATAAAATTTTAATTTGGACTAGGCAAATTTCAAATAACGAAATATAATGTATCCTATGTTTGAATTTAATTTATCTAGAATTTAATTACCAACCCAATACTTATTGATGAGAGAAATAATTTTTTTCTAACTGAACAAAACTAATAAATGCATTTTTCCATATCTCTATTATCTTCTATATTCTATAATCAGTATACATTGTTTTTTTCTAATCGAATAACTACCTCCTTTGGTTTAATCCCATTATTATCATTATCTTTGATAAAATAGTTTGATTTTTTTAGTGTGAACATATTCTTAAAATACATAGAAGAAGAACGAGAGAAACACGTGACAATATATTTTGTCGTATGAATTATGTATTTTTTTCATTTTATTCTTCTTATTTTGAAATCAATGTCTAATTTCATTGCAAGGACTTTTCATATACATAATATTATAGAATTTTACATTGGAAAAATCTCCAATTGATGCTAACGATGGTTCATTCTCAAAAGAGTTATAATTTTTATTATATAAATAAACTAAGGAACAGCAAAGAAAAATACGTACTAGACTTCTATTAGCTATTTAGTCTTCAGCACTATTTAAGATATTTTTTTAACTATTTAAAGGCTTCTCAAATACTTATTTACTATTACTTTATTTTCTCCATGAGTTATTTAATCTACAGCACTATTTAACTATATGCAGCATTATTTAATATATTTTTTATTAACTATTTAAAGGCTTCTCAAATACTTATTTACTATTACTTTATTTTCTCCATAAGCTATTTAATCTACAGCACTATTTAAAATACTTGCGTGACTATTTAAATCTTTGTTAGCTATTTGATCTTCGCATTATCTTCCGACGCATAGCTATTCAAAGCGCCAGCACTAATCAAACTTGTATTACGCTATTTAAAAGATGTTCATAGCTATTTCAATCGTTGTTGATTTTAAACAAAAATCCAAAATACATATTTCTTTCTAATTTAATATAGTATATTACTATTGCTTGCCTCAAATGGATCATTGTCAAAACAGATACTTTTTAATATATCATTTTTTTTATAAACATCCCATCGCTAGTTACACAAGTAACGCTTGTCCAAGGACTCGCTTAGCTCTTTTTCATAGAAATGCATCGTCTTCACATTTACTGGAAAAAAAATTGGAAACCATGTGTTTCTTTGCTGTTCCCTACTTAGTGGTAAACGCCGATCAAGACATACAGGAGCTGCCAGTACCAGCGGCTTGTCGAACTAGCTTTTAATGAATAAGTGAAATGCTAGTAGACTTATACGCAAGAAAGTTAACAGTTTATAATCGTCACACTCTGCACTACAAGCAGGGGAAAATTTGAATACACATAAAAATGTATTACCCAAAAGCTCGGTTTCAATCAGTCCATGTGACTTCTCCCAATTCACCGCTTCGCGTCCCCTTTAGTAGTCTGAGCAAATGAGGCGTATATTTGAAGTCTCCGCATCGAAATACCTCAAAAAATGTCTTTTTCTGAAAATCAGTCTTCGATGTTTTTTTGATCCCTTTCTCTGATCACCAAACAGACGTCAGATTCGAAGTCCCCATGACGAAATACCTCAACAAATGTCTTAACAGTTTAGTCAAAATCAACATATATTCTTGTGTACAATCATTTAATGAAAATTCAGAAGTTCTATCAACTTTAGTAAATTTTATTTCTGACAGATGTAACATTTATCATGTCCATTTTCTCTAACTTGAAATTTTTATTGAAGTCAATGCAAATTGATTTTGTTTTCTTCAGATTTACACTCTACTTTCCAGGGCAAAGACAACGGCGCTGTAAACGACCTTAAATGGTGAAAAAACAGTAAAATACGACGACGAAACAGTTCCAAAACATCGCCTGAATACCACAGAACGGGCCGTTTCCGTGTTGGATTGCTCGACCTGGGATGTCGGCAATAATTGGGTGCAATTGTTGGCGGTGCTATTAGCGAACTAACAAAAACAAAAGACGAAAGTAAGAAAAAACGACAATTAGTGGGGCGTTTTTCGGAGTGATTGTCGGTGCCACGGTAGGTGAATTGAGTGGGCTGGCAATGAAGCGAAATGCAATTAGTGCTATTAGCGGGCTAGCCTCAGGTGCAGTGGCTGGGGCTAGCTTCGGTCATTCGGCAGCGGGTGTAATATATGATGGTACTAAAGATGATGATTAAACTAATATACGTGTTGTTTATATGTTTTTGTTTTTGTGTTCATATTGATCATTTCCTTATAACTAACCTAGATGTTTTTTACTATCTTTGATTGTTCTCATACATGTTTAATATAACTGTTGATATAATGAATCTGAAATAACTTCTTTTATATATATTCATATCTATCATGATCATTTTTTTAATGAGAGTCGAGAATATGCTTTCATCATTTATCATTGAAAATAATAAATAAAATTATATGTGTATATATGTTTTTATATTCAAGTTCATTATTTTTGATGTATATGTTTTTATTTTCAAACTATGTTCTCTCTTTGACTATTCTTATCTATCAGAAAAGTACCTACACACATCTTCACTTCTACTAACTGTTTATATGTTGATAAATCAAATGTATTATGTTTGTAAATATCTAAGGTGATTATTGTCCCTCTTTTTCTTTAATTTGTGAACCCTTCTTAGTATAATAAATTGAATACAAAAAAAAAGAAAATAACAAATGAAATAATTAAAATTTTTTTTGTCTTTGTCGTATTATCTAACTCTTTAAAATATTCTTTCTTTTTTGTTTGAATAAATGTATTCCTTTTTTATGTGTAACATTAGGGGGTTTAGGACAGTTGCTCGCAGGACAGTTGCTCGTGGGACAGTTACGCGCGGACATTTGCTCACTAGGACATTTGCTCGTGTGGACACATGCTCGTCAGACACTTGCTCGCCAGGGTGTGGATGTTAAACCAATAGAATATCCGCACCCTCACCTATACTGACACCGACACCGGTAACCACACTCACACTGACACCCACGTCCATATCCACACCTACACCCTCATCCACACTAACATCCACACCCACACTGACACCCACACCCTCAACTGGTATTCAAGGTGATGGTCAAGGTGTTAGGTGTTATGGCTGGTGAGGTTTGGGGTTTGGTTGGTGGGAATAGTAAACATTATTATTTTACTATTATTATTTTCGTCTGACGATGATTCTACAAAAAGAATCGAAAATTCATGAATAAACCAAAATTATCAACATTTCCATTCTCGTTTCAACTGCATCTCTCAAGTTATTATATTTACAACATTAGCTCAATTTATTCCATTTATTTCTGGACGAAACCAGCAGGGGAATATCAGAAGTTCTACGCAGAAATCCTGTGACTATATCTTACGGCTGTTTCCGGGCCGGATTGTTCGACCTGCGATTAAACGAATATATCCAGAGTATTTCAAAATTTCAAGATTGCATCACGTATCATTTATAAAAGGTCATTTTTTCCGTTAAATGGGATCGGATCCAATTCACCATGGTGCAATGATAGGCAGTACTGTTGGCCTAATTGTTGGTTGTTATTTTGGAGGCACCACACATGCAATTGGCAATAAAGAAAGATGACCACTCTATGGTGGTATTTTAGATGGTTTGTTCGGTGTGTTACCTGGTGGTTTTGACGTATACTTAATTTATCGAAATAAATTTGGAATAATTGGAGACAGCCTTGATGGTTTTATTGCCGGAGTTAGCACTGATTATACTACTACTGCTGGTGTCTACGATGGTATAAAAAATAAATAGACTAAATTTTTTTTCTCTGTTTTACAAATGTAAATTTTCCAATTAGTCTTTCTCTTTTCTCTCAATAAAAGATGTTGAATTGATAACTAATTGTTTTCAGTCTCATTACTTATTATTTTCTACACTAGCACGTGTAACTCTTTATTTCCAATTGAACAAGAACAAAAAACAATATATATATATATATCTATCTGTATAATAAAACTGAGATTTTTCATGAATTAAAAATTAATAACATACAAAATATATATGATAATTTTCATGTCGAATTTTGCGCGTATAAAACTGCTGAGAAATATATAATCACATTTTTTTCCATTTTAGATAGATTCATTTATTTTTTTCTGAATATTATTTATTTGAAATATAATATGTAATAAAGAGATAAAACTTTAATGTACATGAAAAAATTCAGTATTATAATGTTTAAGAAATAGACAGTAGAAAATATTTCAATAGTCTATATTAAAAACTTTAGAATTAACAAGTTTTCATGAGAATATCAATATTGCCATAACCATCATTAGTAACAACAATATCAGTCAAATTATCTTTGTTTATATCACCAGCAACGAGTGCATAGGGACGTGAACCAAAACCAGTAAGAAATATCATTTGTGTTGCAAAACTTCCGTTACTATAACCGAAAAAAACACCTACACTATTCGCTCCATAATTAGTCACAGCAATATCTAGAAGAGTATCATTATTAAAATCTACTAGAACAACTGATTGTGGTTGAGAACTAAGATCAGTAAAATACGTCATTTGATTCGAATACGTATCAGTACCATTACTAAGAAAGACGCCAACATTATTAGTACCTGAATTCGTAACGATAATATCGGGTCGATTGTCATTGTTAAGATCACTAACGGTTACCGAGGAAGGATGAGATCCATTACCAGTTGAAAATACTCTCTGATCAACGAAAGTACCATAACCAGAACCAAATAGTATCATAACATTATCTGTTCCATTGTTAGCGATTACAATATCCAATAGAGTATCATTATTGAAGTCTGCAGTAGCAATAGATATTGGTTGAGAAGATAAACCAGTCGAATACGATGCTGCATTCAAGAAGGTTTTCTTGGCATATCCAAGAAAAATATCTACACTATCCGTAGCTGAATTAGGGACAACAATATCGAGAAGACCATCATTATTAAAATCAACAGTAGCGATACTATTTGGTTGAGACTTATCACCAGTAGAATAAGTCAGTTGGCTGAAAAACGTACCGTTGAAGCATCCAAGAAGAATGCCAAAGTTATTATTTCCAAAGCTTGCAAGGCCAATATCTAATTGATTGTCATTGTTAAAATCACCAATAGCGAGGGAAGAAGGTGTGGAATCAGTACCAGTTGGAAAAAGCATTTGCTGAGAAAATGAACCGTTATTATTTCCAAAAAATACACCGACATTGTCGGTACCAAAATTAGCAACGACGATGTCTAATCGAGCATCATTGTTAAAATCTCCAATGGAAACCCATTCTGGAAGTGAGCGTTGGCCAGTTGAATAGAAAACTGGTTCGGAGAAAGTGCTATTACCATATCCAATAAATATACAAATATTCGACGATCCATAATTTGCTACAACAATATCTAGCAGACTGTTGTTATCAAAATCAGCAATGGCAACTGACAATGGCCATGAATTATAGCCAGTTGAATAGGTAATCATATTTGAAAACGTACCATCCCCATTCCCATAGAAAATACATATATAATTATAAAATGCATTAGCAACAACGATATCTACTCGACTATCATTATTAAGATCACCAGTTGCCATCAAATTAGGTCCAGAATAAGTACCAGTTGAATAAGTTGTTTGATTGGAAAACGTACCGTTACCTAATCCAAGAAAAATACCTATACTACTATACCAATAATAGCTGACAACGATATCTAAATGATTGTCTTTATTAAAATCAGCAACGCTAACACCCCATGGATACCAATTACTACCAGTAAAATATATTGTTGGACTTAAAAATGTACCATTACCTACTCCTAAGAATACACCTAAACTATCACTACCTGAATAGACGATGATAAAATCAGCCCATCCATCGTTATTAAAATCACCTGTCGATACGGACCAAGGAGTAGAGTCAATACCAGTATCATATGATATTTGCTTACGAAAAGTTCCACTATTATATTGTAAAAGTACAAAAGTACTATCTGTACCAGTACTAGCAACGGCAATATCTAATTGTTTATCATTATTAAAATCACCAACAGCGACCGATTGTGGAATAGAACCAATTCCAGTTGAATATGTTTGTGGTGTCTCAAAACTACCATTACCATAGCCGAAAAAAATACCTATATTTTCAGCATATGAATTAGAAACAATAATATCTAATATACTATCATTATTAAAATCACCAACACCAGTCGATGTTGGAACAGATAAACTACCAGTTGAAATTTTCATTTGCATTGGAAAACTTCCATTTTTATATCCTAAAAGTATTTCTACACTGTCTGATCCATAATTTGCAAGTACAATATCTAATTGAGCATCATTATTGAAATCACCAAGAGAAATAGCTCGTGGATGTGGAGATGTTCCTGTAGAATATGTATTTTCACGTACACCATTTGTATAAATAGAACCTAACATAATTCCTATCATATCATTATTTGAATTGGTAACAACAATATCTAATACACTATCGTTGTTGAAATCACAGATAGCAACTGATTTTAAACAAGAATTATCAATAGTTGAATAGCTTTGTTCATTGGCAAAACTTCCATTTCCAAATCCCATTAAAAGAATTACTTTACCAGCATCACAATCACTAATAATGATATCCAAATATTTGTCATTGTTCATGTCTGCAATGGCACATGAAAATGGTGCAGTATTACTACCCGTTGAAAAAGCATCTTGTCGAGAGAACGTACCGTCACCATAGCCCAGAAAAATAAGAGCTGCACGATTGTCATATAAGAGAACAACTATATCTAGTCGATTATCTCCATTTAAATCACCAACAGCAGCATAATAGGGTGCTGAGCCCTTTTCAGCACTATATGTAGTTTGATAAGAGAAAGTAGCATTGTGATATCCAATGAAAATACCAATATTATTATTCCATTGGTTAACGACCATGATATCTGGTTGACTGTCATTGTTAAAATCAGCGACACCAATAAAACGTGGTCCAGAATTCGAACCAGTCGAATAGGTTATTTGATTAGAAAAACTACCATCCCCATAGTTTAAGAAAATACCTACATTGTTATTTTGATAATTGGCGACAGCGATATCAGATCGATTGTCATTGTTAAAATCACCGATGGCAACATCATATGGTTGCGAATTACTACCAGTTGAATAAGTAATCTGAGGTTTAAAAGTACCGTTTCCATATCCAAAAAATATACCAATATTACCTGTCCAAGAGTTAGTGACAACGATATCTAACTGATTGTCATTGTTGAAATCGCCAGTTTTGATTGATAGTGGTGAAGAAAAAGTTCCAGTAGAATAGATCCATGGACTTGAAAACATACCATTTGCATATCCAAGAAAAATATTTATAGTATTACCTTGATAATTAGTGACAGCAATATCCATTTGACCATCGTCATTGAAATCTCCGACAACAACCGACTGCGGACGGGATGAATCTCTAGTTGAATATGTGTTTTGGATTTTAAAACTGTCATTGTCATATTTGAGAAAAAGAGCTATGCTATTAGAACCATAATTGGCTATTGCAAGATCTGATTGATTATCATTATTTAGATCACCAACAGCAACATACCATGGATAAGAATTACTGCCTGTTAAATAATTAATCTGCCCCGCGAAACTACCATTACCAAAACCGATAAATATACTGAAACTATTAGCAAAATAGTTAGCGACAACAACATCAAGTTGACCGTCATTGTTAAAATCACCATTAGCAAGAGAACTTGGTCCAAAACCATTTCCTACTGAATAAGTAAATTGACTAAAACATGTTCCATTCCCACATCCAAGAAATAGAACTATATTGTTAGCCCAATAATTGGCAACGATAATATCTAATTGATGATCATTATTGAAATCACCAAGAGATACAGATTCAGGATATGAATAACTGCCAGTTGAATACACAATGTAATTTAGAAAAGTACCATCACCAGGGCCAAGATAAATACCAACAGTACTAGACAAGTAATTAACGACAACAATATCTTGTTGTTTATCATTATTCAAATCACCAATGGCGAGGAAACGTGGACCCGAATAAGAGCCAGTGAAATAAGTCGCGACACTTAAAAACGTACCATTTCCACATCCAAGAAATATTCCAATATTATTAGTCCAATAATTGACAACAGCAATATCCAATTGATTGTCATTGTTCAAATCAGATGTAGCAACACTAAATGGATTTGAATAGATGCCAGTTGAATAGATAACTTGATTTGCAAAAGAACCATCACCATATCCGAAAAAAATTCCTATATTGTTAGTAAAATAATTAACGACAACAATATCTTGTCGATGATCACTGTTAAAATCACCTGTAGCAATACCAGACGGTCCTGAACCACTTCCAGTTGAATAAATAGTCTGTCGTGAAAAGCTACCATCCCCATACCCAAGTAATATACCTACATTGTTAGCTCCATAATTAGCAACAGCCATATCTACTCGACCATCATTATTGAAATCTGAAAAAACAATTGATTCTGGATTAGAATTTGCGCTAAGTGTTTGATAGATAATTTGACTTGATAATGTAAAATTCCAATAGGTAAGAATAACATCAATATAACTATTATCATAATTAATAGCGACAATATCCATTTGTTTATCATTATTAAAGTCTCCTGTAGAAATTGAGTACGGCTTAGAGTTATAACTCATGAAAAATATCTTTCGATCTGAAAACGTTCCATTTCCATATCCTAAAAAGACGCTTACACTAGAATTACCATTGTTAGCTACAATGATATCTAGTTTCGTATCATTATTTATATCTCCGATAACGACGGAAAGTGGCAAAGAATTGTTACCAGTTGAATACTTTGTTGGTAATGCAAATGATCCATTTCCGTATCCCAATAATACGGCAACATTATTTGTACCTGAATAGACGATAACAATATCAATATGAGTGTCGCCATTCAAGTCACTACTAGCCAGTGAATATGGTTGTGAATTAGTACCAGTAGTGAAAATAATTTGTTCTGCAAATATTCCATTTCCATATCCAAGAAATATTCCCACATTGTTAGTACCAAAATTAGCAACTGCAATATCAGATTTATTATCATTATTAAAATCAGCAATAACAAGTGCATATGGAAGAGAATCATAACCAGTGAAAAAATTATTTTGTGTTCCAAATTGCCCAGTACCATCACCAAGTAAAATACCGATACTGTTCGTGCCATCATTGACCACGGCAATATCGAAAAATGTATCATTATTAAAATGACCAGCAGCAACCCATCGTGGTCGAGATGATTCAGTAGAAAAATTTATTTGAGCTGTAAAATTACCATTACCTATTCCAAGAAAGATACCAATATTATTAGTATGAAAATTTGCTACAACTATATCCATTTGTTGATCATTATTAAAATCAGCAACAGTTACTGAGTATGGAGTTGATCCAACACCGGTAGAAAACATTATTGGATCTGTAAAAGTAGTATTATCACGTCGAATGAATATACCTATATTATTGGTAGCAGAATTTGCGACAACTACATCTGGAAGACCATCGCTATTCAGATCAGCAACGACAATTGAATGCGGATGAGAATCATCGCTAATTAAATTACGAGCTTCCGATTTTAAAATATATGTACAGATTTTACCTAAATAATAGTAAATATAATTTACTTATTGTTCTTAAATTCGAATTTATTATTAGATGTGTGCTTATACAAACTGATATTGGCAAATTTTTTAATGATTCTAACATACATGATCTTGCTTAGGATGGATGCAAGATCTTTGTATGTAACGTCCATAATTTCTATGTCTTGATTAAATTGATACAATGTATTAAGTATGTCAAACATTTCACTAAGTCTTTCATGTAACTTAAGTTTTCTAATTTATCGAAGAGAGAAACGTAAAATGACTTATTTTATATGTGAGAGAGTCGAAAATATTCTTTAACTAGTTGTTATTAAGCACAAATTGTTAACAATAGAAGTCATCAATTCACTTCTTGTTGATTAACTAGAAACAATACATTGTCGTAAACTCATCTAAAATAGTAGTATATGATTTTGTTTTCATCAAAAAAAATTGTATTAAATGATAGAGTATCATATCAATTTGACGAATATTTAATCTTATTGATAATTTCTTTTTGCGAAATTTTTACTTCATTCAATTGTCTTAATAATTTTCAAAACATGTTTTACTTTCAAATCATTAAATAAGATTAATGACTATTTTACATATTCAAAATTTTAATTAAAGTCAAATTTATATAGAATGATCTGTTGTCAATTAATCTAAAGATAACTTGATGTTTTTCTCAAGTGACAATACATATAAAAATGATTTTAATAAATTTATATTTAAGGTAGTAAGGAATTAATTGTATTCTAATTAATTATTGAATTCTCAGTTAACATATGCATATATAACTTAACTTAACTTTTTAGGAATATGTTTACTATAATGAGAAGACGTTGACTGATCGATAAAATTCTGTTTTATTTGACTTTTAAATCCTTTTCTTTATGATATTATATTAATTTAAAAGTTTCCTATAATGATAAATGTTTATTAAAATGACAATTATTTGTTCTAACAATTCGAGTAATTAATTGTATAGTTCATTTAATCTATAGATGTCTAACTTAAATAAATCATACCTGGAGGTTTTGGTGATGTAAAACAGACTATTAGAATGGCAATAGTCATCACTAAGCTTGTGAACACAGCAGATATTAAAGTTGCTTTAACTGAATTTGACATGCATGGAGGCAGTTCTTGTCTAAGAATAATAGAAATGAAGGATGATTACAATGAAATGAATTAAACATACTTAACCGTTGATGATTCTTTCGACTTGTTGACACTATGAGTAACAGTTTCTTCATCGGTCTCAATTCGAATTGAATTTGATGTATTATTCGTTGAGCCGATAGTCGAAGACTCTTCGTGAAATAAATCTTCTATTGTGAAAATCTCCATATCTATAGAAGTTATTTTAATCTGAAATATAAATTGATGAACAATTGTATTTTATAAAATTAGACTAGACTCGAAGTAAATTCTATAATTGTTTTTAGAATAATACACATCATATCAGTAAGTAGAAAAATCTCGTTTGAAATTGTTACATTAGTAAAGTTATAATTTCATTAACTTATAACATCATACTCTTATATATAACTTCTCACTGAATAATATTTCGAAGGATTGAATGAGATTACAATAGAATCTCTCTTAGATGGGCGCCGATGGAACTATTTTTTTTGAATCGCCCATTTTGTGGAGATGCCATTTTTATAGAAGTTTATTTTCAACAAAAATCGATTGATCAATCAGTCCATCATATACTCACATATGGAGGTTTTACTGTATGTTGAACCGAATATATTATTCTAGTGCGTATAATTATCGTAAAATATAATATAACGACAATATTTTTATACATAAAATAAGTTACGCTTCATCGAAGTTACTTTAGAGAACACAATCATACCCATAATGTATGAAGTAAACACATTTTTTCTAATTGCATTTCTTGATCATCAATCATTTTTATATATCTATGTGTATTTTACCTATTTACAATGCTTGATATGTAAACATCGAAGAATTAGAAATACATGTGATTAATACTGTTTTTCATGAGAAAAAAAATGTAAAAAATAAGAATATCACGTAATGTATACATGATGTAATGAGTTATCGAAAAACAAATATTTATCAAATAAAATACTATTGAATATAAAAACACGAAAGGTTTCGTTTTCAAGAATAACCAAAGAATATATTTCATATCGTTGAATTCTAACGTTTATTTTTGAAAGAAAAGCTTTTGTTTTTTTTTCAACGTATTTTGATTTATTCATATTTATAATAATATAGAATTATTTTATTTTTCTATACCTATCAATCTTTTCAATTTCTAAAATTTACCTGAAAATGATCTCCTCATTTAAATAATCGTATAGATTATCTATTATAAAACTCCACTAAAATAAATAAATAATTAATTATATTACAATTTAATATAACTAAAGAAATATCAAGTTTTACTATATTGGATAAAATGAAAAAGAGTATTTATATTTAAATAAATATGAAAATGTAATAGATTGAGATATTTTCAATAATTTTAATATAAAAGAAAATTTTCGATCTTAGACGATCTTAAGGGTAGGTGTGATTATGTCTTATTCACATCGCCACATCAACACTCACATCCTCAAGATTATTATTGTTTTCATTTGAAATGAAATCTCTTATTTATCAGATTTATTAACAAACAAATAAATGAAGTGAAATTCTATAAGAAGAAGACAAATAATATATATGTTTAAAATTAATTAAAATAAGAGAAAATATTTGATTAAATAAATTTGAATTGTATAGATAATAATTATTTAGCCAAATGTGTTTTTCCAACAATTCGACGATGATCTAAATGATTCATTGGTAAGATTTGTGGAGCAACAATAGGTGTTGCTCGTCGATAAAATCGAAAAAGTTTTTTAAATTTGGCTCGAAGTTCTGGTAATGAAACCATAGATAAAAATGGAATAAATAAACCAACAAAATAGGATAAATATAAAGTGGATGAATATAAATCAGCACCAATGTTTGATGATAAACCAATTGTATAAGCAAGATTAAGAATAATTGATGGAAAATATAAAATAATATAAATTATAGATATTGATAATGATTGTATAGTTAATTTTTTATAATTTCTCCAATGAAATCTTTGACGCATTCGATATTTTCTATACCATACACGAAGAAGAAGAGTTAGACTAAATATAACAATAATTAATGTTGGCAAAATATTATTTATTAAACTATCCCATATTCCTATCAATGATGTATCATTTGTATAATAAGTAAGATTACATCGAGATTTCACATAATCTGGTGCAATTACAGAAGAACGAAAAAAATATATAATGATACAATAGAAAAATGAATAAATTATTATTATTATTATTGGAAAATAATGAAAAAGAAAACGTTTTTTTTTTCTTAAAAAAATATTTTTATTAAATATAAGAATATGTCTTTCAATTGATCCCCAAGCGGCAAGTAATAATAATAATAAATATCCTGTATAATCAATATATAACCATATAAGACAAAAACTAGATCTTAATGATAATGAATCACCCATATAATAAAAATAAGTTAACCAGATTATATTAAATATATTATAAAGAAAATCAAATATGAGAATTATTATAATAACATGATTATTAAGACCTTGACGAAGTGTTCTATCAACAAGAAAATGATAAAGATTAAATAGAATACAGAAACTTGATGGTATTACAACGATTAGAAATAACCAAAAACGAATTATAGAAGGAATAAACATTTTAATTAAATCAACTATTTTTTATAAGAGAAATAAATACGAAGAGAATCTGATCTATCTCCTTAATATGAATACAAATATATATATTCTCATTAAAAAGACTTTTCAATCTTTGTTTTTATTATATTTTAATTAACATAAAAATAAACAAAAGGTTTTCTATTAATTTAAAATGTTTAATGAGAGAAATATATTTGAGTGTACTTATATCGAATTAATTAAAATACATTTTATTTTCTACGAATTTTAATGGGATTTTAATTGACTTTTGATTTTAACTAAATTAATTAATCATTTTTACCTTCAGATTTTGTATTAATAAAAAAAATCCAAGTGAAGTATAAAAACTCCAAAAAACTGAATTCAATAATTTAGTTACAAATATTCTCTTATTATTGAATTACTTGAAAATCAATTATTTGAGACATAAAAGTTTATCTTTTATCATGAATAAATAATTATGGTTGAGAAAGTTCTTAAAAAATGATATTATAAAAATACTTGAATACAGATAAGAATTTATCACGTTCACATGTATTTCATAAAGTAAACACTCAGACCTACATACTAAAATAAAATGTTTAATGAGCCAAATGTACCTGCATTAAACAAAAAAACTATGTTTTCTGTTTCTTTATGTTGTATGTATCTTTTCTTTTATAAAAGAAATTAATTAATCATCACTAAATTGCGGAGATATGAACGTTCTTTTGAAAACTATGTAAATAAAACACTGTATTGCTCATCATGATTTCGAATTTAATCTAGATGCAGATTCATCTTTATCAGGACTAGCTCGATCAGAAAACATACCGAGCTGGAATAGCTCTCTCAACTAACTATAGCCTGTACAGAAAAACCGTGACAATCGTTTAAATAACTGAAGAACAGAAATAGGTAGAGATCTATGTTTTTTATCAATCGAGCAAGATAACACAATAAAATGTTTCTTCTTCAATATTATATTAAGACAAATTTCTTTTAAAAAACCAATCAGTTAAAAACGTGGTACGAATAAATTCTCCCGTTAATATGATGTTTGGAGAGAAACTAGGAAACTTTACTAAAAATGCAGAGAAATTCAGACTTTTCAGGCAAGAAAATAAAGGATTTATTTTCGAATATTTGGAAATAATTATTTATCTGAATATAATAATAGACTATTATGATGTATATATTGAAAATCTTTTCGAAGATAGTTGATCTTTAAATAAATTTATCATAAAGAATTTTGTTATTCTTTATCGCATACATGTTTAAGTACCAAATATTTTCATTGGTTTTACTAAAGGTAATCTATGATATCGAATTATAATTATACAAATACTCATTTTATTTCAAAATAAAATCTATACAATGATTCCATTTTATTTTAATTAATTATTAATAACAAGTTTCTTTTTTTCTTCTTCTTAGAGATAAAAAAGAAAAGAAAAGATCCTTCGATTGTTGAATTAATTTAGTTTCAAGTTTGTTTGTTGCATCTGATTCAATATAACATACGCCATTATTCTATAATACTTTGATAAATCAATTTCTTTCGTTCATGAATCAATACAATTATTTGCATTCAATTTTATACTTAGTTTAGATTTTTCATATATTTATTACCAAATCAAAATTTCAATACACAAGAAATACAATAAAACAAGAAATACAACAATTATTTATTTTTTCCATTTGGAATTTCTTCATCTTCATAAGTCCATCCTGCAGTAGTATGTCCACATATATAACCTGATATACTACCAGCACAACCACTACTAGTAATTCCTATTGTTGTACGAACAATTGCAGCTCCAATTGCACCTCCTGCCAATCCACCTACTGCAGCTCCAGTAACACCGCCTACGAATTGACCTGCAGGCTTATTTTTATCAGTGATAAATTTGGCTGCTAAACCAAATAAACCACCAACAGCACCACCTACCACAAACGCATTTGGTAAAGGATTCAAAGCCATATATGATTTAATTTACCTAATAAAACAATAAAATATTATTTAATAGGAAATAACGAACTCAGAAAATATTTAATTCTTATTACAATCAATTCTATTCCTATCTTTCATTAAGAAACAATGTTAAACTTACCTAATTTCTTCGTAGAAAATGAGAAATTCTTTGTCGATATATTATTAAAAGATAGCAAAGAAGGAAAATGTATATCTATATATATGCTGTGGTCCAAATTAAAATTTTATTTTGGACTAGGCCAAATTGAAATTTCAATTCTGATTAGGCAACTCTCAACTTTAACTGAATTTTAATTTTGATTACAACGTATATATATACGACTGAAAAGAATAGAACAAATTCAAATATATGTAATAGATAAGAAAAAGAATAATTTTAAATAATGAAGTATGATGTATAGAATGTTTGAATTTGATTTATTCAGAATTTAGTTACTCACCTGATATTTATTGATGAGAGAAATAGTTCTTCTAATTCAACAAAACTAATAAATGCATCTTTTTGATCTTTATATCATCTTTTATATTTTAAAATTAGTATACACTATTGTTTTTTTAACAGAATAAATATATATTATAGACTATTACGATGTAAAAGTTTTTCGAAAATAGTTGATTTCTAAATAAATTTCTCATATAGAATATTGGAACAAAGTCATTGACAAAAAAGAAAATTTTGTATGTTAAATATAGTTTTAGCGAATGAAATATTTTGTTTTTTGCATAATCTTCAATATCCAATAAATCAGTTTTGTCAATTTGACAAATGAATACATAGATATTCTCATTCAATCCCTTCGAAGTATATAAGTCTTTTGTTGTCAACCAGTAAACAATAAGTTAATACTCTTGAAAAATTGTAGACCAATTAATAAAAGATGAACGACGTAAATGAATTGAATTTTTAAAAACTTCTACGTGTATTTTATTTTCAATGAAAAAAGAAAAAGATCGTTGAATATTAATTTTTATAATTGGTAACAATTGAAGCTACAATTGCAATTGATTTAAGACTTCGACGTCTTTTAGGTTTTTCAAATGGTACTTTCATTTTTTCTTGTTTACTTGATTTTACATTCGTTTTTGGTGGAGGACCCTTTGCATTCGTACCTGTTGCTCGTCTTAATTTTATTAAAAAATCATTTGTTATTAAACTTGGATCATTTAATAGTGGAATATATGTTCCATCTTCTAGAAATATAAAATAAAAAAACATTGATTTGTTTTTTTTTCAAAGAAAAATTAATCTAATAACCATCAATTTGTGTTAAAACACAACGAGAATGAAATGGAAAACGTTGTTTTTCTGATGAAACAAATTTTGTATTTGATGACGAAAGATGAAATGGTTCACCATTATTTAATAAACATAAATCAAATTTAATTGATGATGATAAACAACAATGATTTCGAATATAATTTAATAAATGTATTGACTAATAGAAATTGAATTAAAATCAATTTATTATTTTATTTTATTTAAATGAAATATTTTACTCGACAATTTCCATTAACAAGTAAAACAGAAGCATTACCATAGTGAACTTCAATCAACATTTTCTTCTTCTTCTTCTTTTTCTATATATTAAACATTCATTGACTAAGAAAGAAAAATCGATTTTCCTTTTCATATATATTCTTAAAACGAGTTTCTTTTTTTCTCATTTCTTTATTAATAATTAATCGACAAAAAAAAACGTTCTCGTTCTACACTATATTTTCTTATCTTCATAATAAATACTTAAAATAATGAAGAGATTTCTATAAAAAGAAAAATCTCTTTATTCAATATTAAAATTAATTGAATTTTTTATTTCAATTCTTTTCAATCAAAAATAACGTCAGCAATATCCTTCTTTCCTTATATTACATTTTATTGTATAGAATTATAATAATGAATATCGTTGTTTATTAATTCGAAATAATACAAAATCCAATTTTGTACTGAGAGTATTTTTGAATGTTTTTGTTTTCGATAAATATGAAATGACCTATTTTAGTAAAATGAGTACTTTTTAAAATCAAGTGCAAATAGTACGGAAATTGGATTTTTCTTTAGTTGAATGACATTCTTCATTTTTATTATTTTACCGAGAAGAAAATTTGTTATGTTACGTGATTGAATAGATTAAAACTATTTTTCTTCAATTTTGTTTCAAATAATTAAGAAAAAAATAAATGAAAATAAGAAAATATTGTTTAAATTCAAATGAAGAAGAAGAAGCTATTGAAACTAATGAAATCTGTTGATGAATTGATAATATTGATTGACAAGATGATATTGTATTTACTGTTTTACAAACATTTCCGCTTGGACATAATAAACTAATCCATGTTCCATTCTCACACATACAATAACTATTTCTATCATAGCAAATTACATTTCCAATTTGACATGAATCAGATGGATTACAGATTTTATTTTGAGAATTAATTAAAGTAATAGTTGATGTTGAAACGGAATTATTCGTTTGAATTAAATTTAGAATTTTTTCAGTTAAAATTTGTCCATTGCATTTACATGTTAATTGATTTAAATTCATTGAATAACATTGATTTAATTGAATTTCATAGAATTGATTTTCCATACAATATTTTTGACAAGTTTTTTTCCATTCAGGATAAAGACAATCTCCATTTAGATTTAAAATCATTGAAAATAGAATTATCAAATGAAAATACATTTTAATCAATGAATATCAACTTTCATTTCTCTTTTCTCTCTTTTTATAGGATTAATCTTATGTCAAAAATCTTCGTTGTTAATCTTTATTTATTTAAATGTCTAATCATGTTTAGATAAAACTATTTTATTCAAATATTTTCTATACGATTAATCAATTGAATATTTTAACAAACAGTTCTTATATTACAAGAATTCATTAGGAATAAATAAATTTCAATACATTTATCTAATATAAGGAAAAGATGAATAGACATTTTTTTTGTTGGTATAGAAACTGTTAAATATGAGAAAGGATGATAAAAGATAAGATATCAGTGATATAAACATGTCAAATATAATAAAAATAATTGCACCATCTGTTAAAATGATTATGCAAGAACAATTGTTCGGGTATAAAAATGTAAAGAAAAAGAAAGTGAAATAATCATTATGAGTATAAATAGAATTGATTGTGAAACAATCGCAACTGGTCTTAATGAACCATTAGCAATACAAATAGATGAAGAACACAATGTACTTTATGTGTTAACAAATTACAAATTAACTCGAATTAATTTAAATGATAATGAAAATAATGTCGACGTTGTTTATCAACATAATATAAGATTTGGAGAAAATAATATGAATATTAATGATGATGATGATGATTATTATTCTCAAGGTGAATCGGATAATGATGAAGAGATGCAACGTGTATCAGATCCATTTGAAGATAGTGAACCATCAACAGATGATGATGAAGAAAAAGTAACAAATCGAAGAAATTGGCGTCGATATGGTTGGAGAATTTATCAATTAGATAATCCATGTTCAATATTATTTTTATCTGAACAAAATCAATTAATTGTATTAAATGAAGGTGTTATTACTTTTTTAAAAATTCAAATTGAAAATGATCGTCCATTTGTTTCAAGTCCATCAAAAAATATCTTTTGTTATGATTATGATATATTTAATGAAAATGATAAAAAACAAAGTATTCAACCATGGTCAATAACATCAACTTTAATTGATAAATATTTTATTTTTAGTTTATTAGATAATGGTCAACTTTATTCATTAGATATGAGAAATGATGAAAATATAATTATTGAAAAATATCTTAATACTGATATTCATAATTGTCCATATTTAATATTTCATTCACAATCCAATAAAATCTTTGTTTATAATTCTAATCAAATATTTTCTATATCAGTTGATGATCGATCAATAATTAAAATAGATTTACCATTTATTGAAAAAGATAAAACTATTTCAACAATAACAATAGATAAAAATGGATTGATTTATATAATATCAGATTCAAAACTGTTTCAATGTAATTATTATCAATTACAAATTCAACTTATTCAATGTTTAGGAATAATTCACGTCAACATGGATTATCCACAAATGATTATTACTAAAACAGACAATCAATTTTATTTTTCTAATATTGGAACAAATTCAGTTTATCGATGGAAAAAACAATAACTTATTTTCTGCTTTCTTTTCAATAAAATATCAAAACTATTTTGAATTATTTGTTGATCATTATTGTCAGCAGATACATTTAAGATGACTACGTTATTTATTTTCTCTGTCTATTATTAATATAGTCATCTTGAATATATTTACTGATAATAATAATTGCAACAATGAATGATGCCGGTTAAGTGATTCAAGGTGTGTCTCTATTATTTTGTGGAAATTTCACGCTTGTCATACAGATCAGTGGTAACAAAAAAATAACAGGGGACGAACAGTATGTGTCGGCTCATGATGTGATGAAGGAAGTGGTAGTAGTTAAGCAAGTTTTCCAGTCAATTGAATAAATGATCAATGAGAATTAACGTTTTTTCAAGTATATTTTATTTGTTGATCTAGAGTGAAGAAGAGTTAAGTGTAGAATATGTAATTTGGTTGAATAAGATTAAATTATTTTCATATATCTTTTATTGAATATTTCTATTGTATTTCTAATAATTGAATTTGTATCGGTAAAAATAATTATTTTCTATTTAATTCAATTAACTGAGTAGACAATTGAGAAAACAATATTCTTCTAGTTATTGGAAATAACTTTGTCTAATGAAAAATATTGTTTATGATAGTTAAATGCTTTTTTATCTAGTAGAAAAAGAGCATATAGTTAACCTTCGAAAACAATATTCTGACATTTTCTTATGTGTATATAACATTTAATATCTAGAATAACGGCATAATATGCTTTTTAATTGTTAATTATTTGTCCTTTCTCTCTCTCTCATGAAAAAACATCGGAGTGTTATAAACATAATGTTTTCATAATAAAAATCATTTTCTCAATAACCTATGTCGTAACATCGAAATTCAGTAAATAATCTTCCACTTTTGTCTCGTGTATATTGATTTCTTAAGATGAGAATATATGTGCCAATAGATACTTATCAAAGTTGTTGAAATAAAAAGTGAAGTTTTACAACGATTGATCAATTCTAAAAGTCATCGTCTCATTGATATGTAATAATGTGAATATATACGAGTGATTTCTCTTCGAAATGTGTTTTAATGATAGGTTAGATATATTCAAACTAAAACAATAAAATACAATTTACATAAATTATAATACTATTAACAAAAAAAAGAAACGTGAATTTCTTTTCATAAATATGTCAATTTACCAAATCGGCTTAGTTTTATTGTTAACTTCTTTTATAGTTCGCCTAATAAGAAACAATGGTTTAACGGATATGATAATAAAAATGTATACCTTTTACTGATTGTTTTTTTAAACTAAAATCATTGAATAGATAAAATAAAGTAGTTATTTTACTTGAGGTCATAAAGAACAAAAGTAAAGAATAATTTTAGTGAATTAGAATATTTGTATTGAAAATAAGTTGTAATGATTATCTTCGTTTTTTTTCTTGCTGATTATTATCGATATGAATAACAAAAGAGTTTTATTAAAGTAAAATCTTTTGGGAAATCTCACATCTTTATTATTCTTCTAAAATAACTGAGAGACAAAATTCTATTTAGTAAATTTATTATCATAAATTATTGATTGCTTTACTTTCTTGATGAATTTTCTAAATAATTAATGAACAAATAAAACATATCTTTTAAGTATTACAGATTAAAATTAAACAAGATTATTAAATAATCTTCTAAACATATAGAGAAAAAAAACTAATCTTTTTTCTTTTCTAATTCTTATAAAATAATTTTATTCTTGAAAATAAAGTGTTGATTTATTGTCGAACAAATAATGATTCTTCTATAACTAAATATTATCAAACGAATAAAAAGAAAAAAAGATGTTTTATTTAATTAATGTATTTATTTGGTTTCCGTCAATATGTTTATCATGAGTTTTTATTTGTCAATCATTTCCTTCATTTATTTAACATTAGAAATAAGAGGAGAGATTTTTTTATTTATCTAAATCTTGATTTTGAATAAAAAGAAAAGAAAAGAAAAAGCTAATATATTTAACTAATCGATAGTTGATAATTAAGAAATTAAAATAATATGTTTATATAAATGTGTTTTTAATGAAAGTTATTTTGAGTAATGATTAACAGAAAGATTCTTTTTATTTTTCTCTTCTATTTTGACATATAGACAGAAGGACTTCCTGCATTTATTCATCGAGATCTGGTAAAGACGTTTTTTTTTTCTTCTTACAAAATACATACACCCGGTCGTCACTAATGATTTATCTGATCGACGCCATAGAACATCATTGGCCTTCCTTTTCTCTGTTTTTGTCCTATTCTTTTTCTTCTTCTTCTTCTTCTTCTTCTTCTTCTTCTTCTTCTCACTCTCTCTCTCTCTCTTTCTTCTCTAAGCCCTTGGTAATTACTCGGCTCGCCGATCGATATACAAAATGTGTGGCGACATTCATTTATGCATGCTTCTCAATCATTGCGTCAACAATAAACACACGAGTTACTGATAAGGAGATCGAATTGCACGTGTATTCATGTCTCGTGAATAATTCAAATCTTCACAATAAAGAAATTCTTCTCCCATTCTTTCCCTTTCTATCAATATTTGTTCTCTTTCTTTCGTTGAACGTGTGCCCTTTTTGTGTCGAAAGAGAAAAAGAAAAAATAAAAAAAAAAAATGTCCGTTGTCCCGTTAAGTTCACCTTTATCGTCATCGGGCAAGAATGTTGATGTTAACTACGCAAAGGATTCTTCAAGCGTATCGTCTCTCCTTGTCGACTATTCATTATTAAATTCAATCATTGAAACAATTCAATTTGAAAAAACTCTTGAACTTTATTCAATAATGTTAAATACATGTTTAAATAATGAAAAAAATCTATCTTTAGAAATCTTAATAAAACAATTTATTCAACAATATTCGCAACAAAATTCAACAAATGATTTCAAAGAATTAATCGAATTATTTGAAAAAACATCATTTTATTCATTAATATCATCATATGAACTTATTCTTCTACATTATAATCAACAACAACAAGAAAAAGATGATTTAACATTAATTTTATCTGATGAAGAAAATTCATTAAAAAAAGAAGAAGAAGAAGATCATCATGTAAGTAACAAAATTCTTTCTTCTCTTTTCTTTTCTCATTATTAAATATTAATACAAATCTAGTATTCAGATAAAGATGATCAAAGTTGTATTGTTTCAATGTCTTGTTCATCAAAATTAGTTGATGAAGAAAAAGAAAATTCAAATTATGCATCAAAATTATCTGAATATAATGTTAGTCGATTAAAAATAGTTCGTTTAGAAAAACGTCAAGGTGAACCATTAGGTGCAACAATATGTCGATTATCTGATAATGATTATAGAATATCAATAGCGCGAATTATTTATGGAAGTATTGCACAAGGTCTTTTTACAGTTGGTGATCAATTACTTGAAATAAATAATATTCATATTCAATCACAATATAGAACATTAGATGATATTGTTCAATTAATTGATTCATTACATGGAACTATTTCATTTCTTCTTTTACCAACATCATCAGATGAAACAACGACGACGACGACGACGACAAATCATGGGATTAATAATCAAGCATTTCATTATAATCAAGGTTTACTTTATTTAAATTAAATATATGAATATTCATTTTCTGTTTCTTTTTCTTTTTCTTTAGATGATTGTTCATCATCTGTATATGTACGAGCATTATTTTCATATGATCCATATGATGATATGTATATTCCATGTCGAGAATTAGGTCTTTCATTCGAAAAAGATTCAATATTACATATTGTTAATCGTGATGATTCATCATGGTGGCAAGCATTTCTTATGGAAAATGATGAAAATATTAAAAAACAACAATATCCTGGATTAATTCCATCAAAACAATTTCAAGAAAAACGTTTAAAAATAGTTAAATGTTTATTAGATGAAGAAACAACTGGACATACAAAAAAGAAATTAAAAAAGAAATTAAATAAATCTATTTCACAACAATCAACACGACAAAAAATTTTAACAACATTTAGTTTCGGTACATATGAATCTGTTGAATGGTATATACCAAATCCATTACGTAAACGACCCATTGTTTTAATTGGTCCAGCACATATTGGTCGACATGAATTACGACAACGTTTAATGAATTCATCTGATTTATCATCATTAATTGATGTTGCTGTACCACATACAACAAGATTAAAAAAATCCGATGAAATTGATGGACGTGATTATCATTTTATAACACGACAACAATTTGAACGAGATATTTCAAATGATTTATTTGTTGAACATGGAGAATATGAAAAAAATCTTTATGGAACATCAAAATCAGCAATTGAAATATGTTCAAATCAATTAAATAAAATTTGTATATTAAATTTATTACCTGAAGGACTTGATTCATTAAAATATTCAAATTTATTACCATATATTATTTATATGAAAATTCCATCAACAATTGAGAAATTAAGAGAATATTTTTATGTTAATGAACAACAATGGATTGAAATTGAACAAATATCTCGTCAAATTGAACAAAATTATTCACATTTATTTGATAAAATTATTTATTTAAATGAATCATTTGATGAGATTTTTTCACAATTAAAATCTTTAGTTAAACATGTACAAATTAAACCTATGTGGGTTAATCAATGTTGGTTTTCTCCTAGAGAACGTTTTTAATTGCAATTATAATAATAACAACAAAATTTATTTCACATTTTTCACGAAACTTTTTGTTTTTTTAATTTTAAAATATTATAGATATTCCGACAAGAAGTGATTCACATTTATTATTAAAATAAATTAAATAATTTTATCAATACAAATTCTTTTATTTACCAAGGAGAAGAAATTCTAATATGATTTCGAGGGATTATTAGTTAAGAGAAATGCTATCCATATGTATCTGCTTCCGGTGACAGACATATTGTAAACATAATCATTCTAGAATAGTTCTTTACTCAACCATACTATAATAAGATCCTTATGATCTTAACATGAGAATTTTATTTTCTATCAGTTTTAAATTGTATAGAATAATTAATTTCGTATTAGAAAGAATATATTGTAAATAAACAAAATATGATTTGTGTTTCTATTATTAATCAATCAATAAAGAAAAGAATATTGAAAAAAGAAAAATATGATTGATTATGGTTTCTATAATAATAATATTTATTTAAATTCTATATCATTTTTAATAGATAAGAAAAATATTGATTAATTTAATAACGTAAAAATTTTTGTATTCTTTGATTTACTTGATCCGCAACATACAAATTAAGTTGATTATCAAATGCAACTGAAACAGGATAATTTAACATTGTTGAATTCGTTCCAGGTTGACTTGAAATTCCTGCAATTGTTGTTCCGTTTGATTGACCAACCAGATATAATTGTATACGATGATTAAACATATCTACTACATACATATTACCCATTGGATCATATGTAACACTTGTTGGATGATTAAAAAGTGTTGAAGTAATACCAGTCGATCCCATAGAACTTCCAGCAATGATTGTCCATTTAGAATCACCTATTATCCATCGAACAATATTACTTGCACCATAATTTGATATAATAAGACTATTTGTTGATGAATCAAAAATAAGACCAGCAGGATAATTTAATTGTGTATTATTTATTCCTAAACCATTTCCTCCAGCAATAACAATACCTGTTAAATTACCAGAGAAATATTTCATAACACGATGATTATTATAATCACATATATATATTGCATTCGTATTTGGATCCGTAGCAATACCATATGGAGTATTAAATTGATTTAATCCAGAACCACCAGAACCTACAAAATTTTATCAAAATTAATAATTTTTCTATAAGAAAAAAAGGATTTGTTTACTTGTAACACCCGCAACTTTTGTTCCATAAGATGCTCCATAGTTCCAAAACTGAATTCGTTGATTACCTGAATCTGCTATATATAAATTATTGTTTGTATCAATATATAAAAATGTTGGTCCATTTAAAGAGCTCATATTTGTTCCAGAAACTGCATTTGCTTGACCAGCTATTGTTTTACAAGTTAAATTTCTAATATTACATTTTTGAATTCTATGATTATATCTATCACCAATATAAAGATCACCAAATGAATCAAATCCTAAACCAAAAGGACTAGATAATTGATTTGATGTATTTCCTCTTATGCCTGTAGTACCAAACAAAGTTATAGCGCTTGTATTCCATCGAAGATAAGCTTCAAGAGCTAAAACAATAATAATAAGAGAAAAACCAAATCTTTTTTTTATTTTAAAATGATATTTACAAGGTATATTTCTTGTTCTTGTTGGTTTCTTCAATAGAATAATAAGAATAATAGCTAGAATAATACCAATAAGTATAAGAGAGATTAAATACATAAGTACACGTCGTCGTGAACATCGACAACAATATTCAATAAAATTCCTAGAATTAAATATTATTATGAAGAATTAATTAACTTGGAATTAGTTTTATTTATTCTTTCTTTTTATTTTTAATTGAACCATGAGAATTATGTATTGGATTTGTCAAATCTTCTATTGTTCCTGGCCACTAGATTTCGAAGGTTAATAAACAGAGTCAAATAAAGAATAATATTAACGCTTACATTTTTGTTTATAATATGAATATTCGATGTCGATTGATTACTAATATTATCCTACAAGATAAATATTTATATTTTTAAAATAAACAATTCCTTTAATCACGTGATGATCACTATCTTTTTCTGTGCCCAATCGATCGTGTTTATTCGATGAATTATTTGTTTCATTTGAAATATTAATACTTTTCGATGAATATTGACGAAACTATAATATATATGTAAAATATCATCTACGATTCTTTCTATGCTAGTTGATTCGTTGTCATTTATACAGATAGCAAGTTTACATTAAGAGCTTTCAAACCATTTATATATTTGTATTAACAACTAAAATATGCCATTAAATGTAATATGAGAAGCTCTACAATTGACATACGATCATTTATTTTATAGGTGCATTTTTTGCTTTTACTACAAACAATCTTTTTGAGAAAATATTTAATCTCAAAAAAAGTAACTCCGTCATTTCTTTTGTGTCTGCGAAATAAGTTTCTTAAATCTGGAATATATTATTGTTAAAGAAACCATAAAATAACTATTGTTTTCTACTAATAATCTAATCTCAAATAAAGAATAACCTTGATCAGTGTTTTGTTTTTTCTTGAAAATAAATAGATTATTTTCATAATATCTTCATATAATTTAAATTAAGATTAATTTTACCTGAGATGATGGACGACGAATTTTAATAACACTGATAGAACGTGTTTCATTATTTGTTAATTGTTTATTAGAATTTTCTACAATAACTGATTTATTTGATCTATTACGACTTTGATGAGTTGTTAAACGTGACAAACTCTAGATATAAAATATGAAATAAAATAAAGATAATATGATTAAACATTTTCTTACATTGTTACTCTCTTTATTATCTTTATAATTTGAAGTTGAACGAGCGCTGCGAAGTGGTTTAACAGATACATGAATAACTGAAGAAATTTGGGTATTTAATATTGAAGATACAGGACGCTAAATTAATATATGAATCAATAATAAAACTAATCATAAAATTTACTTGACGATTAAGAGATTTTGAACGACGACGTAATTTTTTAACAGATAATTTATTTGTTGATACACGATTTTCTTCCATTATTCGAATTTCTGTTTTTTACTGATTTTCAGATCAATAAGTTTAATCACTAAAAGAATGATTCGATGCTTTTTTTTATTTTATTTACAACCTGAATCAATTCATTTTTTAAAAAATGCATGAATATAATTAGTTAATCAAGAGGCTTCAGTGGTATATTTCGTAGATTTGAAAATGACCTCAAACAATAGAAAAGAAAAAAAGTTAGTCAAATAATTGCACTGGATCAAACTCAAACTGCGCAAATTTACTTTATTCTTAATCATACCGAAATATAAATTCATTAGATAACCTCTATGAAATAGTTTACAAATCAATAAAATTGTTCAACTTTTTATGTATCATGTTTATCAAGACTATTTTATTGTAATAAAATACAAAGCTCTTTTCGCTCACCATTTTAATAAAAATAAATTGCAGTGCTATCGAAAAAAAATGAAATGTCATCATAAATCACTGGAATCTCGCATGAGCAATTGCATCAGAATGTTTAGAAATTAGTTTTTCTGCGACTCTTTGCTCCACTGTGTGAAATGGTATTCGTCGAAAGTGTATTGAAAAAATTTGATAAAAAAATTAGATTGAATTAAAGTAGTGAATTCGACAATTTTATAGAGTAGAATTTACTCTACAAAATGCATTGGATTGTTTTCTCCTCAAACATGATCTTAATCGAAACGAACATTTACAATAATATATATTAGAATTGTCCAGCAAATTTTGATACATATAATCACAAAATTCAAATAAATCAACAGTTTACAAAGGTTGTGTCGACAAATTCCTAAGTGTGCTATATTACTCACACCTATCTTGATTGTACAAGTCATGTTTAGTTTTTATTGCAGATGACTTATATCGGTTGTTTGACCATATTTTAATGATAAGATTAAAACTTCTATTCAATGAAGATTAGAATTAAGTAGAAATAAAACAAGTATTTTATTATCTTTGAATTTTCTAACAAATAAAGAGTTTTTAAATTGTTCTATAAACGAAAGTGATGAAGTTTTGTTTTTTGTTAAGAATGACACATGGTTATTCATAGAATGAAAATATTTTGTCATAGAAAGAAATCAATTAATAGATTTTGTTGCATTAAGAAAAGAGCAAATTGTTGATTTATTTAAATGTTTATGTAAGTTAGAATTTTGAGGATGGGTGTTATTAAAAATAAAAAAATACTTTTAGTTTCTTTTTTGTAGAATTACAAAACGTTAAATCATAAAAACAAATGTCATCTTTAACCAAATCATTATCAAAGTATATTTTATTTTCGTATCATAAAAATCATCAGGAAGTTATCTTAAAAGTTTATAATTATTTAATAAATGAAAATCTTCCTGTATTAATTGATATTCAAGATGGAATCAATAAAAATATCTATGACAAGTATTTTCAAATAAAAATATTTCTTATATAAATTCTAACTCTTCTATTTAGTATGGATGGAATGATAGAAAGTATAAGTGGTTTAATATGTTTTCTCTCACCAATGTATGAATCTTCCAAACGTTGTCAATTAGAAATTCAATTTGCAAAAACAGAAGGAATACCTATTATTGCTTGTCGTCTATTACCGAATTGGAAACCATCTGGTTGGCTTAGTAAGATTTTTCTATTAAAAAAATAAAATAATTTTCATTTAAATGAATAGATAAAATCATATATAATTTATCAATTATTGATTTACAAGATCTTCATCAAAAAAATTTTCATAATAAAATAAAAAAATTAGAAGACAAAATCATTTGGCTTTTAGATAATGGAAAAAATTCTCCAATAATGTCTTATTCATCAAATGACATGCTTTTAATAGGTTTGTTCAATCTAACAATATTTTCTTTTGTTAAATAAAATTCTTTTTTTTTTAGATCGATCATTAGTTCTTGAAGATTCCTATATGGAATCAATCAATGAAAATCTTGATCTAAATTATCTTAAAAAACAACCAATAAATTATCGAGCATTACCATCAAATTGTCGTTTATATTTATCAAATTTAATGGTTTGTAATAATGAATATATTTTAATCAATGGAAATAATCATTTACATTTATTTGATAAAAATTTAAAACTTATTCGATCAAATCAAACAATAAAAATCAATGAAACTAATCTTCGAGATTTAATTTGGTGTTCAAATTCAAATAATTTTATAATCTTAACACGAAAACAAATTTATTTTCTTAATCCAATAACATGTAAATTATCAATTATTGAAAATATAAAATTAACTAATGGACAAGAAGAATTTATTTCATGTTCATGTTCAGATGACAAATTCTTTTTAATAACATGTCAATTAAATTCGAATACTTTCTTTTTTCATGAATTTAATTTACCAACATTTCGTTTTTTAAGAAAATTAATAATTCGTGATTTTATGGGAACATCTTTATATATTCAAAATGGATTTTTTAATAAATATGATATTCAACAAATTGTTTCAATTAGATATTTTCAACAAAGAATTGCAATTATTATGGAAATCAATTCACATTGGTTTATTTATATTTTTAATTTATATGAAAAATTTTATTTTTTAAAAGAAATTCCGCTGGATAATAAAAGTCGAATGATTATTTTAAATTCAATTAATCAATGGATTTTATTTAAAGATTATTTGGCTAATTCATTTATTCAAATTAATTTAAATCAAAATAAAGAATTTATTGATTATTCAAAAGGTTTTATTGATTTTGGTGGACAAATATTTAGTGCTGCACTTTTAGGAACATCAAATCTTGTTTTTATTATTAATAATACTCTTGTTCTTTATAAAATATAAATTACATTCTTTTTAAACCCTTACAATCAGTCTTTTTTTCTATACTGATTATTTAAAAGAAATTATCATCTCTAATAATATTTCTCATTCGATAGAATAAAGAATATGAAAGTACCCGAAATCAGTCGCGTGATTTAGAGCTCATATTTCAATCATAAATAGACCGAAATAAAACTAGCAGGAAACTAAAAGGATTCATGTTCGTAGGTCTTTAGAACCAAAAATAATGCTGTAAACAGGCTTTTGCGACATGTCTATGTAAGAACGTCTATTTCCTAATATTCTAAAGGCTAAATTTCAATGAAACGGTCATAAGTCTTTGGCAAAGACCCATGGACATTAGTTCTTTTCGGTTTCTACTAGTCCTATTGAGATCCACTTATGATCGAAGTGAAGAGAGCATTTGTGATACCTCTCTCATCAGTATTAAGAGTATATATGAAGATAATCATATTAACTTTATGTATAGATAGACAAAGTGTAAAGAATATTGTGTTATAAGAGTTAGTTTTATATATCTTCGAATAAAATATGAACTTTAAACAATAAAATAAAAAACTGAATGAATCAATGAATGATGTTTTGTTTTTAAAAATACTGCTAATAATATTTATGGTTTAAATTGTTTAACAAGATGTTGAGAGAATGCATTTATATTTTGTGAACCACGTACTTCATCATCAAGTAAAGGCAATTTAATAACATTAAAATCCTCATAAAGATCATCAATCTAAATTAAATTGAATTAAATAAAATATGAAATGAATGTAAAGTAAATACTTGTTCAATATATTTTTGTTGAAGACGCATTCTTTGTGAACATCTTCGACATGAATTTGGATTTTCTCCTGGTGTTGGAAATAAAACTTGATTAACAATAATTGAATGTGTATCAATATGACATTTAGCTAATTCTTGAACTAATCTTTCTGTTTCATATAAAGATAAAAATTCGGGAATACAAACACAAACAAATGTTGTTAAATCCTTTTATAGTCAAAACAAAAATAATATTTATTTAGTTTTTATTATAAAAGAAGAAATGTTTCTAACCGGATTTTGAAATTGTTCCATAACTTGTCGAATAACTGCTAAAGTTTCTTCTAATTTATTTGACATTAATTCTGATACCATATTATCCATTCCAAACATTGATGAAATCTATTTTTTTATTTTAATAATATTCAGAATGTTTTGTTTTTAATTTTACCTGTGTTAACATTGGTCCAACTTGATTTTTAAGTTTTAAAATTTTATCCAAACCTTTTTCAATAGCTGAAGGAAATGAAAGTAAGCGTAATGTATGACCTGTTGGTGCTGTATCAAATACAACAACACTAAAGTTCATATTTTTGACTAGTCTAAACAAAAACAAAAATAAATTTATTTTTAAAATAAAATAAATTAATAAAATATTACTTCATCACTTCAGAAAAACTAACAGCTTCGTCAATACCAGGAAATGATGAAAGCATTTCTTGAAACATTGAACGACCAACTGTCCATAATTCTTAATAAAATAAATCTTATATTAAAAGATTTAACTTTATATTAAAATATCTCATACCACTATCTTCGTTATCATCGGGTAATTCACTTATTCCACCTGATGGATCAATTTCCTAAGAGATTTTAATAAATAGAAATTAATAAGAAAAAAGGCCAATTCGAACCATAGCAAAAAGATTGTCATATCCATTAACTTTTGTTGGTCTTTTAGTAAATTTTTGATTAAAAGCGTCAGATATATTATGTGCTGGATCAGTACTTAATATTAAAACTGTTTCTCGAACTTTAGCTAATAATGAAGCTAAACTTGAACTAAAAATAAATATAAATTTAGTTAAATATAATAAAAAAGAACTAATTGAAATGTACCTGCATGTTGTTTTCCCAACACCACCCTTTCCTCCAACAAATATCCATTTAAGACTTTTTTGATCAACGATACCGCGAAGACCTTCATTAGAAATATTTGGTACTACAGCTACTGAAGACGACATTTAATCACTGAATATCAATAAAATAATCAAAGACAATTATATTTGACTCATAGAGTGTAGCGTTTTAAAAAAGTCCAATAAATTAAGAGAAAACATGGATATCCTTATAGAGGCACATTATATTACTATATGACGAATCAATTTACTAACAAAAATAATCCACAAATACAAAATCAATATTTCAAATAAGATTATCTTCGATTATATTATCGTCAAATTTAACATTCATAAAATTAGATTTTCGTATCCGATTTGTTTCGTATATAAATTTATTTCATTTCATTGAAAAATTAGTTTTTTTGATAAATCGATTTCTCCTATAGGATAAAAATCTATCTTACTTCATTTTTTGATATACTTTCAAAAAGTATTCGTATTTATTTCTCTTATTCGTTGAATTTCTACAAATGATGTTCACACTCTTACCATTGTCGTTGAAAATACATTACGAAAACTAATTTTCTATAAACAATATATTAACATGTAAAATAAATTCTTTTAGAACTATATTGAAGAGAAATAAAATATTCGTACAATTAACTTTCAACGATTTTTATATAAGTAGAGATCTATATTGAATCAATAATTAAAACTTATACGAATTGTTGAATAGATAATATTTATCCGAAGTTGGATAACAATATTTCTACGCAGATCGATAATGTATAATTATTTAATGCTCTGATATGATGGCTTAATTTATAGTTGCAGCATTAGTAGAAGCAAAAGTAAATTAGTTTGAAATTATTATCAATAGCTAAATTCTAAATTTACTCATTCATACTATGTATCGAATATTTAAACAAAAATTATCATATAGAATCTACTAACAATATTTTTGACTTGCCTTTCTTTTGAAAGATGTTCTTAGCAAGTTGAAATATAAACATCTTTCAAGCATCATTTCTTTCTATTTGTAACAAATGAAGAGGTTAGACATAAACACAGGTATAATTGTGGTTACAATTATATAAATTAACCAGTGAAATAGATGGGTCAATGTAAAGTTTTCTAGAGAGAATGATTATGGGATAGATAATAGTTTTATGATTGTTAGATTAATTTGTAGCAAAGTGAAATGATTTACTAAATAATTGAATATACCGTTATATTATATGTTCTATCGAAAACTACGAATGAAAAAAAAATGGAATTATAATTGAAAACACTTTGATATTACTGTAACGATCAAGACATCATATGTATTAAGTTTAAAATTCAGAAATAACAAATAGACTATTCTTATCATTGTATTTATACGAAAAAGAAATAAATATCTAATTAGCTAAATAGCAGAGAAACAAACAATTTGTAATCTCTTTTTGACACATGGAATGTTTAATTAAAATTTTCTGTCATTGACTATCTTAGATCAGTCATGTCATATAATACAATCAGTTTTTTCCATCAATAACATATTTATCTTGTATTTAAACATTCATAAAATATTCTATAATCTTTTTTTTGTTACATATTCATTCTCATTGAAATCTTCATATGATATAATATTATATTTCTGAATTTGACAGAAGTACATTACAAAAACAAAATATAATTTCTCTTTCCCTCATTAGATAATTCTAGTACAGACAGAAATTTATATTTTGTATTTGACTAAAGAATTCTTGGAGTTTTTCAGAAATTAAATGTCGAGTGACACAGATATTTTTTTTTGGTCAAAGTCTATTTCTTATTTTGATCTATATGATGATAATATTTCGTTGAGAATAGTCAGTACAGTTAGTCGTTTTTCGACAGATGTCGCTTTTCTAAAAAATCAAAAAATAAAATAAATTTCGTAAAATAAAAATGTGTATAATAAAAATGAAAAGTTAAAAATGTGAATAAAAGTAGTTTTACTAAATATTAAAATAATAATATAAGAGAAGAGGCTAGATAAAAGTTCAAATGGTATTTGTTTACTGTTGTTGTTTTGTTGATATAAGGTGATTATCTATTGTTTGATTCATTTTTTTTGTAAAAAAAATCTTTATCTTATTGTTAATAATAATGGAAGATACGAAAATGTCGAATAACAATGAAAATGGACTAACTAATGATTCTGATGATGAAAATTCAATAAAATCAAATGAAGATCAATTATTTAATTTAGAAGATGATGAAACAAAACATGAATTAAATGAAGATAATCATTTAAAATGTTCTCTATGTAAACAATTATATAATCAACCAAAATTTTTATCATGTACACATACATTTTGTCTTCAATGTTGCGAGAAATTAATTCAAAATAAAGAACAAATTCAATGTCCAACATGTCAACAAATAACGGAAGTTAGTTTTCATTGATTTATTTCCTTTTTATTAATAAGAATAATTCGTTTTGTTAATTTAGATTACAAGTGCAAATCATTTAGTTGATAATTATATGTTAATACATGAAATAGAAGAATTTGCTTTAAAAAATGGTACAATTGAATGTCGTGCATGTACATCAAATGATATTGGTGTAGCACATTGTTCAACATGTTCATCTTATTTATGTTCGAAATGTTGTCAAGCTCATCAATATATGAAATGTTTTGAACAACATCATGTTAGACGTTTATCACAAATATCGAATGATGAACAAAATTCTACACGAAAATGTTTAATTCATTCGAAAAATGAAATAAAATTTTTTTGTACAACTTGTTCAATGCCTTTATGTGATCAATGTTTAACATTACATCAACCACCACAACATGATGTTCATAAAAATCAATTTGAACAAATACGTTCAGATTTTAATGAAAAATTAGAACAAATTGATCAATTACGTTCAAATGCATTAGCTAATTTAGATCATCAATTAACATCTCTTCAACATGATTATGATAAAACTAAAACACAAATTGATTTAGCACATCAACAATATCAACAAGCTTTAAATCAAGTTTATGTGAGTATATTTAACACAGATGATGACAATTATTTATTTTCTCGTGATTATTTCTATGATCTTGATCGATAGGACTGATGTGTTTTTTTATACTCATAGAATTTGTTTGTTTTTAGAATGAATGTTTATCAACATTAAGTAATTTACAACGTGATGAAGAAATGCGTTTAATTGATAAATTAGAAACAGTTCAAAAAGGTTCTCAATCATTTGATGATAGTCGATCAATATTTAATCGTTGTTTATCCAAATGTTCCTTAAATGAATTAGTGCAATTAAAAAATAAATTATTTGATGAAAAATTAAATACATATCAACAATTATTTCAAGTTGAAACAACAAATTCAAAATTAAATGATGAACAAAAACATGATTTAGTACAATTTATCAGTACACCTATTCAAGATTTTCAACAAATTATTAAACATAATTTTGGTCATTTAATTAAACCACAATCAAAAGCAACAATTTCATCACCAACTAATACGAATTATCAGGTATTTATATCTACGAAATATTTTCTATAAAAACCTTGAGAAATCGATTTTGTTTGAGGGTTTTTTTTCATTATATCAAGGTCACAGGTTAATGGGTACAAATAAAATAAAATAATATGTGTTCTTTTTTTTTTTTTTCTTCTTCGTCTCTAGAGAGGATCATTATTATCATCAACAAATGGTGATTCAGCTTCATCATCATCAGGTGTTGGTAGTATGGGTGTTGGTCAAGTATCATCACGTGGAACAATATTATCTAATGGTGTATCACCATCAGGTGTTAATCGTGAAGATTATTTTGGTAATAATTCAACAAATGAAGCTGAACCAGTTGTTGAAAATCTTCGTGCACTTGAATCAATATTTGCTGATTCAATAGCAACAATTCATCCGAATGTTCAAAGTAATTTAGAACAAATTCTTCAAATGAATCAACATCAACAAATACAACAACATGATAATCGTTCGTTATTTCTTTCTTTCTTTCTTTCAACAAATAAAATTTATTCTTTTTGACTTTAGAATTTACAATGTTAACACGTCAAACATCAGCACCACCATTAGGACAACGATCACCACCAAATAGTAAGTTCTCTAATTGTTTAATAAAAATTTTGTTATTAATAACAAATAAATGTTTAGTTCAATATCCTCCTCCATCATTATTGGCAACATATTCAAGTACAAATAGTGGTGGATCAAGTAATGGAAATAATAGTCGTTCAACAACCCCATTTAGTGGTGTTGTACCAAATACAGCAATTGATGTTAATTTAAATATTCTTTCTCAAACATCAATGATTCGTCGTAGTGGACAAGCAATGCAAGTTCGAGCTAAATTTGGTTCATTAGGACCACAAAAAATGCAATTTAATGCTCCACATGGATTCTGTCTTGGTATTGATGAAGAAATCATTGTTGCTGATACAAATAATCATCGAATACAAATATTTGATAAAACTGGTGAATATAAATATCAATTTGGTATGCCGGGAAAAGAAGAAGGACAATTATGGTATCCAAGAAAAGTGGCTGTTATTAGACAATCAGGAAAATTTGTTATTTGCGATAGAGGAAATGAAAGAAGTAGAATGCAGATATTTACAAGAAATGGACATTTTGTTAAAAAAATTTCAATTCGTTATATTGATATTGTTGCTGGATTAGCTATTACACAACAAGGTTTTTATATTCATTAATATATGTATATAGATTATTTATTTATTTATTCTTTTTAAAGGAAATATTGTTGCTGTTGATTCAGTATCACCAACTGTTTTTTGTATAAGTGAAGCTGGAGATTTAATTAAATGGTTTGATTGTTCAGATTATATGAGAGAACCGTCGGATATTGCAATTTTTAATAATGAATATTTTGTTTGTGATTTTAAGGTAAAATATTCTTAGATTAAATTTATTTTATTAAAGACAAAAATTTCATTTAATGAAAATGTCATAGTTGATTATTCATTGAAGTGTATCGATTAAAACCGTTCTATTTTCTGTCTATGACATTCAATTGAGTTACACTTTGCAACTGTCTGACTAAATCGTAATTCTAAACCTAGACATATTTTCCATTAGAATCAAGGTTATCTCACAAATATCTAGAGTAGATTTATTATTGATAACAACAAAAAAAGAAATTCCCGTAATTTAATACGACTATTAGAAATCTCAAAAGATATATCGGATGATAAAATAGTTTTAAAAAAACGTTCGTCTGGCCTTGATGTAGTCTATTTGATAAAAAGCAAGAAAATTTACTTAAAAAATGATAATAAATCTAGAGTTATCGAACAAGTAAATAAAAATGAAAGATGTTCTTATCTTAACATTAGCAAGTCGATAAAATAGTTATTTAAATTATATCTGAAATTACAGATGTGTTAATTTATTTCAGGGGCATTGTGTTGCTGTATTTGATGAAGATGGAACATTTTTACGACGTATTGGTTCTGAAAGTATCACTAATTTTCCAAATGGCATTGATATAAGTGATGCCGGTAAGACAAAGTTTTTTAAAAGAAAAAATTTTATTTTTGTCTAAATAAAAATGTAAAATAGGTGATGTAATCATTGGTGATTCACATGGAAATCGTTTTCATATAGCTGTATTTACACGTACAGGTGATTTTTTACAAGAATTTGATTGTCCATATGTGAAAGTGTCACGTTGTTGTGGATTAAAAATAACATCAGATGGTTTTATTGTAACATTGGCCAAAAATAATCACCATGTACTTGTTTTGAATACACTTTATTTAACATAATTTATCAGTCGTTTTCTTCTTTTTCTTCTTTTTCTTTCGTCTTATTGAAAGTGAACAGTCGTGTTGAGGAATGAGCTGCAGAGGCTGGTCGCTGTGATATTGATATAAAAAAAATCTAACTATTAATCTATCTATGCGTTTGTTTGTTTTTGATGTTCTTTTTTTTCTTCTTTGAGAATCAGGTAGTCAAAGATCATAATTGATTTGAAGAAAAACTAGTGCGACCACTCCTTTTTTTTTTGTTTTTCTTTTTCGTTTTTTTTTATTTTGTAGGTATGTTCTTTTTTTTTGTTTGTGTGTTAATCCCGGTTAAGGAATCTCGCTCAATCCTTACCCATTTATTCTATATTTTCTATTTTTTTTTTTGTTTTTTTTTCTAAACGCATTTTTTTTGTTTCGCATCATGATTGCCAGATATTAAATTGATTTTCTCTTATATATTGAAGACCATATGTGCTAGCCTCTTCCAACACCTTTTTTTTTTGGTTGTTTTTTTTTTCGTTTCGAGTTTTGTGATATGAGAGTGGTCAGCTCGTTTTTTTTTCGATATTCTCTTTATCTTATTTCCCTGCTCTGTTTTTTTTTCTTTGTGCTCGTTTTTTTTTCTTATGCTCTTGCTCTTGCTTGCGCTATTCATTTAAAATACATATTAACACTTTACTCAAGGTGACAATGGAATTAAATCTATACTTTAAATAAAACTCTCCAAAAAATTATTAATTCTTTCTTTCAATTCACAACAATTTACATTCTTATTCAAACTATTCTCGAAAAAAGAAAATGTTTATTTTATATGAAAGAAACATGTAGAAAATTTCTTCAAATTGTACACTTATTTTTTGATAAAGATTGATATACAAGACAGCGATCTTTCCCACATTTCGTATATATATATACAAAGAGTTATCTTATTTGTAATATAGAATAAATCTCTCTAATGATATCAATTAGATGTACATTAATGCTTTATATTTATCAACAAATCAACGATAAAATTATAGATAATTGACTTGTACAATGTCAGGGTTAAAAATAAGAATTATTCAACATCGAAGACATATTTAAGTCATAGTACAATACTTCAAATAGTTATTTTTCAATATTCTCATACAATCGATTATTATAAATCATTATTAGAAACTGATGCAGGAGATAAACATCAGATTCTATTTCTTTAAAAGAATTATTTGAAGACTTTAGAAAATTTGTTAAGTTTTGAAATTTGTATTTAAATTGCAAAAGAATTTGCACAATAATGACTTTCATGAAATTTTATAGATTGTGAAAGAAAAAGAAAACTATTTTTCGATGTATAAATTTGAAAAGTTTATCTATGTAAACGATTGATATTCATTGATAAATATTCTAATGTATTAGTCGGAGATCTCGAATTTCCATTTAATGTAATTCTTCTTTTGTTTTGTTAAGAGTATAAGAAATAGAAATTCGATCTTGTTGAAGTGAAAGAAATAGTTGTTTATTCATCAAGTTTTCTTCGAATTGCATCAAATTACAAATAAATTCAAGTTTTATCATCACTATTAGTATGTATCAGATCAAATCTTTTTTTTTTGATTTAGTTAGCTTTAAATAAATATGTTATTTATTCAATAAGAGGATCATTCGATCACAGAATCAACTTTCTTCAGACCACTTTATTTTATTCAGAATGAGCAATATATTGCATGCCAAAGACAAATATATCGAAAAGATCTTTGTAACATGTTTTCAACACTAAAAAGGTAACATATTTTCCTAGGGGCGTACCCAGGTGACAAAAGCAGTGAGATAGGTGGTTGTCGACATTGATGAGGAACAGATTGCTACTCACCCTCAAACATGAGAAAAAAACAGAGTAAAAAGTTATTTATAAATGAATTATTGGAAATAGATGATTAGAAAGAATTTCAAACATTGACATACAATACAATAAACTTTAAGAATAAATAAGAGAAAATGTTAAATTTTATCGTAATCTATACTTTACAATTAGTTAGTTATCTCATATGATATAATACAATTAAAAATTAAATCCTAATAATCGTACTTCAGAATATTGAACAGAATTTGCGAGAGCACGTTTACGAGTAACAAGATATCGATAGCTCATATATTGTTTTGAATTACAAAAGAATTGTGTTTGACCACATGTGAGTCTTCCTGGATCATTAGTGAGTCCACTATTTCCATTATAGATTAAATTCCAGTTAATACCATAAGTAAGATCTGTATTATTAAAATTACTTCCTTCTAATGTCACTATAATTGGATCACGTGCTGATATATCATCAGCTGTACAGATTTGTAGACCTATGGCTAATGATACACCTCGTTTAAGTGTCACATAAAAACCAGTATTCAAACCACAAATATCAAAAGTGTTTAGGTATAAATATGATCCAAAATTTAAATATTTTGTAGTTATATTATTATCAGATGCTTTATCTAGCGATTGAGTTGATGGATAATTTCCATAACCATTACCAGATATTGACAAGGGGAAAATAACAGAGACTTCATGCATGAAGTCTCATGAAGTCTTGTGAATTCTTGTAGTCCGCTGTTTCCCCCTAGCTTAAACCCAGAAAAAGATGATGTGATTGATTCTACATGTCTGGATTCATTTAATTATTTTAAATATATACTCAGTGACACTGGATATTAATAATGATTGTTGTTTGTTTAAAAAAACTAATTAAACTACTCTTTTTATATAAGAAAAAACCCTGATGCTGATTGTATAAGATATGGTAATAGTTTTTAAATTTGAATGATTTTCAAAAGAAGTTATTATGTTTTAATAGAAAATTTTCATATAGGATTTTTTATTTAATAATATCACTTAAAAGATTCAATTAATAAATACTTTTTTCTTAATAAATTCTTGAGTAAACTCTATGATTGTTGTTGAAAAAACACAAAACATATATAATTTACTGTGTGTTCTGTCTGGAGTGGAACTTTTAATTTTAATTTCCCTTCATATGTATGTTATTCAAAATGATATTTTATTTTATACATCAAAGCTAAAAACTATAGATATAATATCTAGAAAAAAACTATTTAATAAAAAAATATATTCGAATCAGATTTTTACTATATCGTTGAAATAAACGTTCACGATGAGAATTTTTGCATTGTTTCCCATCATGTTGTTGACGAATTTGATCACAATAATGAAATATTATTTTATATTCAATAAATAAAGGTTCAACATATCTAGATTTAATCTTGCTTTTTCTTTCTCATTCTATTCATATGTTTTATAAACGTATTTCGAAATAGAATTGAAAATAAGATTTTGAATATTTCGATGAAGAAGTTCAATGTTTAATTTATTTTCTTAAAATGACTACACTAGTATATTGATTTGAACAATAAAATAACTCGAATAAAGAAAATATATGATTAGTAAAAGAGAAGATATTTATTAAAATATACATTTTCGACAAATAAAAGATTAAAAAAAGTTTTTTTCTTATAATTTGGCTAATATTCCAATATTAATTGTATTTTCCGGATTTAATTTAACATTTACAGCTGCTCCAGGATAAATACTTTTTAATATTGAATAAAGATATAAAGGCCAACGTCTAATCCAACTTCTCCATCCTTTTGTTGATACTTTAATAGTTGCATTTGGAATGAATAATGTTAATTTTAATTCATCATCTGGTATAGGTACACGACATTGATTATGAGCAAGTAATAAAATATCAAATGGTTTTATTCGATTTTCTGAATACCCATACAATGCCGTAATATGATATATACTATCTCCATATTGTTTAACAGTAAGACGTTTATTATCGTTAACAGTTGATGTTTTTGTATGTACAATATGAAGAAATATAATAACTTGTGGTACAGAAGATGTACGTGTTAAATAATTTTCAAATACATGTGGTGTATGTTTTGTTGAACTTGATAAAAAACAACCAACAAATGGTGTAACAACAGCTGGTATTGTATTATCTTCATATCCATTATTACTATCATGAAGATAAGATGAAATAATTGATACTGATCGAACTGGAATATTTTCTACTAAACGTACACGACTGTGAACTTTAGGTAGAGTTTTTTTATTCTTAACTTGAAATTCATCATCAGAATTTGAATCGGAATCATCATGAAAATCAATTGGATTAGCTGTTGATATCATCGGGAGATCAGGAAGAGAATAACGAGAATTTTCTCGTGTATTACCAGATGTTAATCCAAGTCTTATTGCTAAAGTATGAAGACTAGTTGTTTGTGTATGAACTTTTTGAAAACGATGTAAATTCATTTGACCAAAATACCAACAAAATCCAAATGTAAAAAAGACAACTGAAATAACAATAGCAACCCATCCACCTGAAGGAATTTTTGTTGCATTTGATGCCCATGTATACATATCAATAATAAGAAATAAACCAAATGGTAAAATAAAATACCACGGTTTTTTCCATGTAAAATGCATAACACACATATATAATACAGTTGTTATTAACATAACACTACAAACAGTTACACCATATGCATTTGTTATTTTTGAACTTTTACCAAATCCAACCATAATTATAATTGTAAGACACATTAAAACATAATTTATAGCTGGAATATATATTTGACCAATAATTGTTTTTGATGTATGATAGATTTTAAATGGTACTGAACATTCCATACCAATTGCTTGACTAATCAATGAAAAACTACCAGTTATGATTGCTTGTGAAGCAATTATTGTTGCAGCTGTTGCTAAAACAATCATTGGCCAATGAGACCATTTTGGTATTGAATGATAAAATGGATTATCTATTAATGTTGGATTAGCTATTAATAATGCACCTTGACCTAAATAATTAAATAAAACAGCAGGAAATACAATAAATAACCAAGCTGAACGAACTGGCCATCGACCAAAATGACCTAAATCAGCATATAATGCTTCAAGTCCAGTTGCAGATAAAAATACACCACCAATTTGATAAAAACCTCGTGTTTTTTCTTTTAAAAGATAATGAAATGCTTCCCATGGATTAAATGCTCTCAGAATAGCAGGTCTCATTGTTACTCGCCAAACCCCAACAGTAAATATTGTTATAAACCATAAAAACATAATAGGACCAAAAGCAATACCAATTTTAGATGTTCCCCATCGTTGTACAAGAAAAAGTATAACAATAATAATGACACCAATAGGTACAGTCCATGAAGTTAAACTTGGAACATCAATAGTTAATCCTTCAATTGCTGATAAAACTGATACAGCTGGTGTTAATGCTCCATCACCAAGTAACATTGATGCTGCTATTAATGAAACAATTATTATTCCTCGTTTGACTTTTCGACTTAATTTTATTTTCTCATCTGTTAATAAACCACATAATGCAAATGTTCCTCCTTCTCCATGATTATCAGCCATTAGAATAAAAATAGCATATTTTATACTAACAACAACAATTAAATTCCAAACAATTAAACTAATTGCACCAATACATTGAGCTTCTGTTGGTTGATAATCAAATATTGTATTAACAACATATAAGGGCGATGTACCAATATCACCAAAAATAATTCCGACTGAACGAATAGTAAGACTAAGAAATAATGATAAATTTACACATGGTGTTATATCAGTAACTAGTGCATGTTCATCGTCACTTGATGTTGTTGAATCCGATGAAATTCGTTTTTCATTTCCTAGTTTTTTAATCGTTGATGTACGATGTTCTATCTTCTCCTTTGAATTATTGTCGCCATCAGTTTTGTCAACATCAATGGCTAGAAAGATTGAAATAGAAATAGTTTTATTCTGATCAAAGATGACAAAATTAGTCTTACCTGTTTCCATAATATTTTTTTATCTTTAATTATAAAAGATTTCTTTTAGTATTTCGTTTGTCCTTTTATCCAACGTTGATCTATAAGGTATATTTAAGTATAAATGTTAAATATATGCGCAGTAGTCATTGATGTTTCGCATCGATGCACCACATTTTGTTTCTTGCTTTATAAACCGGTTTATTCATGTTGTCATTAAACGAAAATTTATCTTTTTATTTTGGGCGTTACCGTATCATACATATGAAGATAGGATCAGGTCCAAGGTTTTTTTCATTCAATGTACAAAGTTTTATAATTTTTATTCAAATTTAATGGTTTGTCTCTTACGCCCTTATTTTTTTTTTATTTCCATATCTAATATTTATGGAAGTTAGGTAAATACGGTAATTTAGCGTCGTAAAATGTTTACATTTATCTTAAGTTTTATGCGCAATATCTATTTTTTGTATTAAATACATCTGGGGAAATAACATGTTTATTGAAAAGTTAATTATGTATCTTTCTTTAGAAAATACGAATAATCGTATTAATACGTGATAAATATAAATTTTAGATCGAAATAGTATTATTAATGATAATAAATAAAGTATTTATCATACTTTTAATCGTTTGCAAGTTTATCAAAACCTTTAGAATCAATTAAACGAAAATATGATATAAAAAAAGATTTTTTTGTTTTGAAAAATAAGAAATACTGTATAATTACTAATATAATACGAGGGAGATGAGTCCTTGAAAGAAAGAATAAAGGTATTATATTTACTCTATAATTAAACATATTAGATAATCATTGAGAGAATAATTTCAATTATGATTTATTTCGAAGCAATAAAAAATGTTTGTTTAGATATTATGTGTGAGATAATTGCTATATGTTTAGTTATTTTCTTGACTGTCAATAATATTCTCAATGTTAATAAATGATGAATCATTATTGTTTCTTTTTACGAACATAAAATAAAATAATTTCTTATCTAGATTTTAAATGATTTGAACAATTTTCATTGATATTATTGATTAAATATCCAATTTGTTTGATATTTGTTTCAATATTTTCAATAATTGGAGGAATATTTGGTATTAATTCTTGTTTTTCTTCAATTGTTTTTTCTGATAATAATAAAGTATTTAGATTGTGAATAAAAACTTGACATAAAATAGAAATTTGATGAGAAATTGTTGATTGATTTAAATTTTTTGGTAAAGATTGAATAGAATTTTTCAATAAAATATTTTCATATTGATATTGATTTAGTTTTTGTTGAAGATGAAAATATTCTTTTTCATAATCACTTTTCAAAGATTTTAATTGGTGAGATAAACTATATGTTTCATTTTTCCATCGATTAATAATCAATAAAAGATGATCTTTACTCATATTTACTTTCAAGAAGTTAATTCTACGCGCTTTATCTACTAATATCAACATTCTAATTGATTTTTTACAAAAATATTTATCTACGATAATATCACTAATACAAGAACAAAATAATGTCGAAAACAATGTGAACTGTGAAAGACTTTTCTCTGTTACGTAAATCAATTAGAATAATTTAATCATTGACTGTAACAATTCGTTGCGCCTACTCTTAAAAGACATCACCTTGATGTCCTTTTTCAGTACTTTTCTTCTTGTTTTGTATCCCGAAATCATTTTATTAGTTTGTCCCTTTATCGTACATATATTTCATCATCATGGCGCGATCAAACCTTTATTCGCCTTCGAACATGCTCTTTTCTGCTAATCTGTAAACTTTCACTCTACACAATATATAAACAACAAGAAAAATACAGTTTAGGTACAATTTTTGATATTTGAAATAAATATACAGAGCCACATACTCAAACGACAATTTTAGTTAATTTGACATATAATATGAACAACTTGTAAGATTGATCTTTATGTTAATGTAATCATATAGTATAATAATAAAACACAATTTATCAGTGAATAAAGTATTTAGACTTGATTGATCAATCGAATAGATATTGTCAGAATGTAATGATCTAATCATATATGTATGGAGGATGAGGAGTATGATTATAATATGTTAATAGTCTGAATGATATAGGATTATTCTTGATTCTATAATATCAAATGTATTTCATTAGATCTTTTGCTAAATAAATATTCTATTTAAGAAATAATGATTATTATTAATTTTTAGAACGCTATAACAGATATCAGTGTAGACAGTATTAATGTTTTGTTTCAAAGTTTGACATGTATTATGGATAAAAGATTTCTAGTTATATAACAGTGGAAAATATTTATTCGTCCTAAGAATACCAATCGAATTACTATAGAAAGAAAAAGAAAAAAATAACGTTTGTTCTCTATACTTATCTTGGCGATGACAAAGAAACGAACGAAAAAAAAAGGCATGTTATATTATTGAAGTGCTGTATTTTTGCACACGTTTTCGAAATCTAGAACAAATATGGTATTATTCACATTATTTATTATCACTATTTTTCTACTTTTATTGTGTTATTATATTAAACGTATCTATTTTACTTTATATGGTTCCATACCTGGTTTACCACCTCAATTTCTCGTCGGTAATTTACTTGAAACTGGCGTTATAGGAAAGAATATTCCTATCAATCTAATATTTCTTGATTTGAAAGCAAAATTCGGTGATATATTTCAATATTGGCTTGGTCCAACACGTATCATTGTCGTCAGTCGTCTAGAAGATGTTCAATATATCTATAGTCATCGACATATTTATGATCAAGGTGATATATTTATCGACAAAATTAGTCTTGTTAATCCATATGCAGGACTTTGTATGAAAGGTATTCAATATTGATCTTTATTTTTCTTTAGATAGTTTTTTGAAAAAAAATTTTATTTGTAAAAATTTTAGGAGCATCATTTAAACGTCATATTAGTATTACTAGTCCATTATTTCGTCGTAATAAAATCAATACATATTTAGATACAATAAATGATTGTACAGATAAATTATTGGTTCGTTGGCAAAATTCTAATGATAATTCGCGAGAAATTCATTTAAATATGATTGAACAATGTCAACAATTATTACTTTCAATATTTGGTTATATTGCTTTTGATTATGATCTTCAAACACTTGATGATGAATATAATAGTCAGAAAAATGAATTGACTCATGCATTACATATACATCTTGGAGCAGCAATAACTACAATTCAATTACCAACAATTATTGCTCGAATTTATTTATTAAATCCTGTATATCGACGAGCACGAGCAACAATTGATCGATATTTACAACAAATGATTGAACAAGAATTACGTGAAACACCAGATATGAGAGCTGAACGTAAAAGAACAAGTTTAATTGCTTCATTAGTTGATTCATTACAACAAGATGAAAAACTTGAACAAACGAAATCTGAAGAAGATAAAAAAGGTTAATTAAACTTACTAATAAATAATTCGATTTTACTTTTTTTTTCATATTAAGGTCTTTCACGAGCTGAAGTTATTGGAGAAATGCTTTCATTACTTTCAGCTGGTTATAGTACAACTTCAACTTCTGTTGTTTGGTTTATTTTTTTATGAGTAAATCTTGTAATGTACAAAATAAATTAAAAAAAGAAATATCTCAATATGATCATCAACGTCTTACAATTGAACAACTTGATTCATTAGTTTATTTGGATTGTATTATTCGTGAATTATTTCGTTTTATACCACCTGTTGTTGGTACTGTACGAACATTGATTAATGATGATCAATTACCATCGACTGGTGTTCATTTAAATAAAGGTGATCAAATTTTTATTCCATTTTATAATTTAAGTAGAGATCAACGTTACTGTCCAGGATTAATGGATCCTAATCAATTTCATCCTGAACGATTTCTTAATACAACCAATGATAATAAAATCGATTCGATAACATTTGGTGGTGGTCATCGACAATGTATTGGTCAAGATTTTGCAAGAATTGAATTGAAAGCTATCTGTGTACGACTTATGCAACATGTTACGTTTGGTGATGGAGGAGAGAAAGTCAATGCAGGTGGATATAAACAAACTGATACAATACTACCGAAACATATCGGTGTCACTATTACATTTGATTAATTAACTTTTCGAAATAATATTATGTAGATAGAGTTTAATCTATATATAGTATGTTCTCATATAAAAATAATGATATTTATCCGTTGTATCTATTATCGAAAATCTTTACTAGAAATTTGATATATAACATAGTTCTATATAAGAACAGTTGATATTTTTAAATATGATACAAGTTTATCCCCGTGAAAAGTATATTTAAGAAAGTAAGTGTGTAGAAATTTTTCTAGATAATATAAAATGGCATTTGTTCGAAATAATCTTCCACGTGTTCAATCAGCATTACGATGGATTAGAGTTAATGATATAAATCCATTTGAATGGACAACATCAGCACCAATTATTGATCCATCAGAATTAGGTGATAATCAAGTTTTAATTAAAAATCATGCTGTTTCCCTCAATCCAGTTGATTATAAAATGGCAACAACGAATTTTTCTAATACAAAATTACCAGCAGTGACAGGTTATGATGTTAGTGGTGAGATTGTTGCTATAGGAAATGGTGTAAAAGATTTTAAAATTAATGATGAAGTTTTTGGATTTTTAAATTTAAATACAAGTAATGGTGGAGGAGCACTTCAACAATATTCAGTTGGTGAAATCGAAACATTAATTAAGAAACCCAAAGAAATAAGTCATACAGATGCAGCAACACTTGGTGTAGCATTTGTAACTGCTATGGTAGGATTATTATGTATTTCAAAGATAATCTATTTTTTATTCTATTCTATTTTATATAGGATGGACTTCGACAAGCTGATATTAATTCATCAAAATCTATTTTTATTCCTGGTGGCTCAGGTGGTGTTGGTCATTTTAGTGTGCAAATTGCTCAAATTCGTGGTGCTAAACAAGTTATAACATCAGCCTCGAAAGATGAAGGAATTAAAATTCTGAAAGAACAATATAAAATAAAAGATGTAATTAATCATGCAAAAGAAAATATTATTGATCGTGTAAAAGAATTAACTAATGGTGAAGGTGTTGATATTGTTTATGATACAACTTATCTTGAATCAAGTTTTGAAAAAACAATGAAAACAGTTAAAGAAGGTGGCACATGGGTTGTTCTTCGTCGATTTGGATCAGATACAAGTAAAGAACAGAAAATTCTTGATGAACGAAAAGTCAAATTAGTTCTTGCTGATCTTGGACGATATTGGTTAGGAAATGAACGAGCACAACTAGAAAAATTTGCACAAACTACATTATTACAAGGTGCCAAATGGATTGAAGAAGGAAAACTTAAACCATATATTAATCGAATAATTAAACTTGAAGAAGCACAAAATGCATTGGAATTAATTAAACAAGGAAAAGGAGGATTTGGAAAAATTGTTATTAAATTATTATGATGAGAAAATTCTTTTTTTTTAAATTTAGACAATAAAAAATATTTATAGAAAAAATTAAGAAATTATTTTTCTTGTTTTATTTAACTAAAACAAAATATTGATTTTCAAACAAGTAAATAATTATCTCCAGAGGAACTATTTCTTTGTATTATATCTATATATTCTAAAAGATTATTTTGTGTAACGATGTAGAAATATCGTTCTTTTCGAACGATAAATATTTGCACATTTCTATTTATAAATGAGACATGTAATCATGAGATCGCAGAAAAAAATACAAATTGCGTACTTATTTGTTCTGTTTCTCGTCGTACTTTTCAATGCACTTTTACGACTATCTTGCGTCTTTTTTTTTCTCCTCCCGTTCTGTGCACATCAAGGTGTATTAATATAAACTTTTTTTCCTTATGCACTTTTTCTATCATGTGAGTGCTTTTTTATCTATAATTGGACTTTTTCATATAATCTTGAATAAGTTACAATGGGGTATAAATGCAAATCTAACGAAAGATAGATAAAATTCTTTGTATAAATAAGTTATTTAATTATATCTTTGCTTTTCTTTTTGTAGATGTCTTCCAACGGATCTGTTACCAAAACACGCAATTTTTATATTGATGAGCCACCAATCAATACTGACATTGAAACTTTCTTTACAAAATATGCTTCCATTCCAGTGCCGGAACTACGTGAACACTTGTTGATAATTCGCAATCGTGCTTACCAAAACCATAATTATCCATGTCTTGGTCGCTGGGGTTTTCTTGATTTTTCTATTCAACAAAACCCTATTTACAAAGAAGTTGTTGAAAAATGCAAAACTGAAGGTGCAACAGTAATTGATTTTGGATGTTGTCTTGGCCAAGATGTACGCCAACTTATCTATGATGGAGTATCTCCGAATCAAATACGTGGATATGATTTAGATCCTTTTTTCATTGATCAAGGTTATGAGCTATTTCGAGATGCAGAATTGATGAAAGAAAAGAAAATATTTAGTACAGGTGATATATTTGATGATGAATTTTTAAAGACAATAGAACCAGCTGATTATGTTCATGTTGGTTCATTTATTCATCTATTTGATGCTGAAACACAGAAGGATGTATGCAAACGACTTACCCATCTATCTAAACATGCAATCATTGGACGACAGGCTGGTTTATTAGTAGCAGGAGAACATCCTCGCGCAACTGATGGTAAAAAAATGATGAAACATTCTCCCGAAAGCTTTACACGCATGTGGGATGAAGTTACAAATGGCAAATGGTACGTGGAAAGTGCCACTTTAACAAAAACGACTATCGGAACAATTGACAATGAAAAACTTATTTTTGTAGTTAGAAAAAGAGATGAAAAATAATCAGACTCTAATATTATTTCATTCTTATCTTCCAATAAAATATAATATAGATTTGAAACATGATCTTGTCTAACGACATACAATTAAAGAGACTCATTCATTTAAATTTCAGACATGTCATATAATGATTGTAACTATAGAGAAAATTCGAGTTTTTTTTAGTCCAAATGAAAGCAAACATTTCTATTAAATACTCATGATATAGAAAATCGTTTTGGAATAAATTATTATAGAAAATGATTATTGAAATAAATAAATAAATTGATACCATTTACCTTTTATCATATTTATCAATGAAAGAAAAAGAAAGTGTCTTAATCACTTGTTATATATGTTCTATCAAGAACAATAGATATTGGTTCAATTGAATATTTTTGTATCCACCATTGAAACTTTTCATTCGACATTGATTTTGATGATTTTTGTTTTCGTCTTTTCATTGTTAAAAATGATCTTTGAGATCGCCGTCGTTTTCTTTTTAAATCTTTATTTTCTATCGTTGTTGGTATTGTTTGTTCTTGGATGTTTTCCGATGAATCTATTATTACTTCATTTTGCTCTTTATTAACATCAGTCTCTTCAGGGAAATCCTCATGTTGTGGTTGTTGTTCTTGTTCTTGTTCTTGTATGATTTCTTTTTGTTGATCCATCACAGAATTATTTTGAAGTAGAGTTTGTTCATTGTCTACTGATTCTATTACATCATTTTGGCATGATGAATTTTTATCTTGTGAAGGAGAAGAAGATCCATGTTCTTGTGGATATGATTGAATATTTTCTGAAAATTTTTCGAACGATTGTTCAATTATATTTGAAGTCGATTTTGACTCATTATCATGTGAATTATTTGTTGACAGTAGTGAATCTTCTATGGAGCATTTCTCATTATTATCTATGGTAAATAATTACATTGGTCAATGTAATGATATAATAAGAATACTTACTCTTTTGATCAACTATAGACTGTTGAGGAGATATTGGCTGTGTCTTTGGTATAAACTGTTGATTGAAAAATTCCCAATGTTGTTCTAGTTGATGAAGATTAATTAATCTCAAGGATAAATCTGAATGAGTAGATTTATCTGGTTTATATCGTAGTATATGTTTAATTCGACATAAATCAACAAATTTTTCAAATGGCATCCAAGGAAAATATGTTAAAACAATATCTTTAATTGAAAGACATAGAATTGTTTCATTAGAGTTTATTGATGATGTTGTGCTATATGATTTTATTTCTTTTCCATGAAAGACTATCAATCGACAATATGAATTATTTGATTTATATCCATTAGAAGATGATCCAATGTCTTTTTCTGGTAGATGTTTATCGTCCATAGATTGTTTTCCTCTTTCTACAATTAACAAAACATCATACTCAATTAGTGAAAATTCTCTTTTGAAACTATTATCAATATTTCAATCATTTTTTCAATAGATACTTATAATAAGACAGATAGTATGTTATTCGTCGCACTAGTGACGAACATCAGACTCAGATCGTACAATAAGCTATGGAACCAGACATTTCCAGGAAATGATGACGATTTTATGAAAGTAATATTCCAGATCAGAAAATATTCAGATTTTCCCAATGTCTCCTGACTAGACTCCTGGTTCTTTCTGAAGGTAGATAGTCGGAAGACACCATAAAATCTCTACAATCTTGTAATTTGGAATATTACTTTCATTTTCCACCAGTCCCGGTCGTTTCTAGGGGTCGGAGTTATTGCCATAGGAAAGAACTTGTTGGTCATGGTATAGAGACTAGGAGAACAATCAGGATTTAGATATATACAGCCTTATATGTTTCTTAAAAGCGCGGTTTACCACATGAGAAATTTCTGTATTTAACTGCTAAAATCTTATTGAATCAGCCCTCAAGCCAGTCACAGACTAGTCACACCCATAAGCTTTGGGTTTCAAGAGTTTATGTTTTACTAATATCGACTAATTAAAATTTGATCTTCATACAAACTATGACAAGTGTCTGCTAATCTATACATGACAGAGATATACTCAAGACTTTCTCTATTCAGTACGTCTCTACTACTGTAATAAACATTTCTCGATAACGACATATGTCATCGATTCTATTAGTGCACAACTAAATCCTTTCCCACTAGTTTTCATGAGAAACTAAATAATGATGATTTTCAATTTGAATATATAGTTTTTTTTAAAATAGTCCCGAACAATGAATGTCAAGACAATCCCATCTTTGTTATATTTCCATATATAAAATAAGCAAGAATAAAATCCAAGTACATGTTCTACTTTAATATGTGTAATATTTAATAATTTTAAATAAAAATCAACTCACCTATAGTTTGTTTATTATATTTTGATGAAATCCAAATTTCATTATCTTTAATTGTTTGAGAATGTAATGAAATAAATTGATAAAATTGAACAAAAGGTATAAATGGTGTTATATATACTAAATCTAATCTTGAATAATTTAATTGATTATTTTTCGATAAAAAACTATTTGAATGAAATTTATTAATATATTGAAAAAGTTTCGCTTCATATTCTGTTAATGAAAAATAATGAATTGGTAATTGATTCATACAATAAGATATTATTTCCGATGAAAAATTTGATAATAAATGAATATTAATCATTTGTACACATAAATATTCTTCTCGATGACTATGTCTAAATTGAAGATTATTTTAGAAATCTTTTCATTTAAAACAAAAAATTAAATCGATTTCAAAAGATAAATGAGTTGAAAAAAATGCTATATAAAAGCTTAAGTTAGCTTACTTAGCATTCAATTCATAGAAATAAATATATAAAATATATTAAGACTTTAAGCACTATTTTCATTAACAGTCGACTTTTTTAAAAAAAGATTTTCAATATTTATATAAATATCTCCTGAGGTTATCAATATTAATTTCTCAAAGAAAAAGCAACTATGTACTTTTTTTTTCAAGTAAATACTTTTATGTTATAACCATAAAGTTTTGATTAAATCTTTTACAACTTTCCTCTGTCGTAATAAAAACGTCCGATGTGTGTACCCTCATCAGCTAATGTTTCATAAGACGTTTATTATTAAGACAAAGACAAGCTTTGCATAGTGTTTGCGAAATAGATTAATAGCTTTACGATTGATATCAATATGATAAGAAAACTTTTGCTTTCATCGTATTTTGACTATTAGTCAAATAAACCACTCATAACTCATTAGTTATAATGACATATATGAAAAAGTGCTGATGTATAAAGTAATTGAAAAAAACAGACGTGTGGGAAGCAAGTAATATATGTGGGTAGAAAGGCAATAATTAGTAGATGCATTGTTATAATGAGACAAAGTGAAAAATAATGTATATGTAATATATTTTAAAGGATATTTTTCTTAGATTGTTAAAGAATCTTCAACAGAAAAAGCCTGCTGTATGCAGAGATTTAAAGTTAATTCGATAAGTACTTAATGCAGAAAGAAAAAATTTTATGTATTCTATTTTATTGTATAATAAAATACATAAGAAAATGTAAAAACATTCCTTAGTAACAGGTTGCTACTGATCAATGAAGGGCAACAAAATGATTATATATAAGAATAAGAGATATTTTTAATGAAATTAATTAAAAACAATACCTAAATATAACAGGCAATGAAATTGTTGATGGTGCTATTTGTCGCCACGCAAATTGACCAAGACGAGATGTTATATCAATTGTTTTCATATTTGTAAATCGTTGATGAATATTTTCATTAGTTTTAGTCAATAATTCAGTATTAGTTGGCATTAGTTTAATCGATGAAATCGGACGTTTATGCGCCATTTCAAATTAATTTATTTGAAATTATATCTGAAATAACAATTGAAATGTTCTTTTAGATTATTTTATAGAAAAATAATGATGATTGTTTTATATATATATATATATAAATGAAAAAGGTTTTTAAACAAACCGTCCTTTCTCCCAAGGTTAGATAATTGACGCATTGCACAAATACAAGAAAGCCTTATCGTATGATGAAAGAAAAAAACAACGACATTTTAATCAACAGAATCAATCTTTAAGAAAAGAAAATCGTCTATTTATCATTCTAGAATATTTGAGAAAAGTAAAAAAATAATAAATGAATAATTTTGTTTAGTAAAATTGAAATAAAAGATAAATTCTTTTTTGTTATTCGTTACTTATATATATAAATATAAAGCATGTGAATGAAACTACGCATCGACTCACGGGTGTCGACTAAAGAAAGTGCACCATACATGAAATGCAACGGAAGGAATGAAGAAAAGGGAGAAAAAAAAGGAAGAAAAAACGTATGTAACTGACATTTAGACGATGACGAAAAAGAGCAAGATCCCTGAATGAATGATTGCTTCATTCTGTATATATCACTTAATATTTTCTTTTTTATGAAAATATTATTTTAAAAAAGAAACAGAGAAAGACTTAGAAAAATTTTTCAGTATAGAAAAGTCATATCAAATTTTTAAAAGAAATGTTTTTATAAGAATATTCTTTCAGACAAACATTTAACTTATTTATGCATCTCGTTTTCTTTGCAAAAGAAACTTGAATCAATACAGAAAAAAATATGTTATGTGTGCGTTTTGTTACCATAGTATTTTTAATTTCATAATTCACTTTTTTTTTCTCTTTGATTTTTAGGCAAAATGCAAAGTAGATGCGACGAAGTGTGTCCCTTGTTTTTTTGCTAGCTTCGCTTTAGTCGATCAAATATATTTAATTCAGTTTGCTACTTATCTATTATTAAACACTAAGACTCTATTTCGAAAGAATAATTACCGAGCTTTATATATATATTTGCTGGAAAGTGAATCGAATTTATTCTAATTATAAGAGGATGGTTTAAATTTGTTTTAAACGATGAAAGAATATTGAAAAATGCTTTTAGGATGTTGAAAAACTCAAACATGAAAATATCTCTGATGAGATGTGAGAAATGGTGACAGCTAGCCAGTAAAAACTAATAATGAAAATGTCTATTGAAAATACAAGTTGAAAATGGTAGTTTTTATTACTTAAGTAAGAAATTATTCTTTTCTTCCGTTTCTTTCAATGCGAAGAAATAATATGCTAAGAATAGACACTCTTATTTCTTCATTTAAATAGCTTTTTTAATAGTTAAGCAAGCGAAACATTAAAATATTGTCATATCACTTCATCATTTAAAAAATAGTGAAGGCTTACTTTTATAGATATTCAAATATTGACTCGAGTCGGTTAAAAATACAATATTTTTATTTTGCTCGTTATATTCAAAATAATAAGTAGGTTGAAAGAACACAATGACACTAACAGCCATTTTCTATGCTATCTATTTGATATTATTCAAGCGTGCAATAAATATTTTTTAATATTATAAAAATAATTTATCACGCATGTGTCTACTGTAGATTTGAAGGCGTTTATATTAGATATGCATGAGAACATATGAAAAACGTCATGGATAATATCATTGGAAAAGAAAAGAAAATCTAATAAATAAATAAGTATGTTTACCTGTCAGTTTTTTATGCATTTGATCCTTGTAAGAGCTAGCGGCACTAAACTGTGTATGGAACAGTCTTAGATCTAGAGGAAGATCGAGACGGGCTTGGCCCAAACGAGGGGGACGGGTGTCGGGAGATTTTCCGCAAGGGCACTCAGTAACTCCTTTGTTGAAGCACTACAGGAAGTATTCTATCCAACAAAAGTCCAGGTTGAAACTGTTTTGTTAATAATTCTAGCAGAAGTAACCCAACACTGGAGAGAGTAGGAGCTACGGCAGGGTATTAGTCCCTTGTCCTCCCCAATAAGAAAAGTTTGTTTTTCTTTGCTTACTAATTTAGGAAACTTCCTAGACGTTCTGGAAATTTTTTGAAGCACTGGTCAACTCGAGAACAATAGAAGATAAAGACCTGATATTTTTACGATCAAACACTAGAGATTGCACGATGCTAAGCTACGCTCGAATTTGACGTGTTTATTTGCTCAACAATTGCGTTTTAAGCTCCCAACTATATACATGCACGACTTTGAAAAAAAACAAAGAGAACGTGTAAAAAGTAAATGAACAATATGAAAGAATATCAAAACGATATCAAGAAAATATATCAGCTGGCAAATTCCTAAATAACACCAAAATATGGATGTTTCTCTTTACTCATAATCATGACATAATGAGTATATGCATATATGTCATTCTATTTTTCTCCATCATCTGTAACTCAGGACTATTCGAAGAAAATTTTCTTTCATAGATCTTACATGCAAATAGCTGATGTCTTTCTATGTCTGTAGATGATCGTTACACAACAAGTAAAATAGTTAGATATTCAAGAACGACAATACATGATAGCATTTCGCACAATAGTAGAAGAGAAGGATGAAAACGTAGTCTGGGAACACCGGCATTATAGTAAAAAGCTATTTACCTTTAAATTCTGTGTGATGTATTTTGAATCGAACAAGTCTACAAAACAAAAAAATCTCAAAAGAGAAAATATCTGAACGCGTTCTGAAAAGTCCAAGATCGGTAATTCATAACAAATCAAAATGCTACTGTGATCCAATATGTCAATCATGACATATTAAACTTCTTGGGCAATACCAGGTAATTTTGCTAGTAACTTATATAGCTTGCTAATGTCTCGTACCATCTAATATAAAATCTTACCATGCATGTTATTTAAAATAAGAGACCTATATAATTAATAATTTTTTCAAGACTGCACAACTGTTCACTATGATACTTACTTGTCAGAGAAATCATTACTTATATATGAATGAAAGTAAATGTACGTGTGGGTTAAAAATAAATGTATTATTCACACTTACATACATATCTTCATCCATCCATTTCTATAAAGAGCTGAAACATTTAATAGTCTATATTGTTCTCATTATATATTTAATACAGATGAATTAGTTGGCCTAGATGTTGTCAAAAGTATAATCAATTTTGAATTTCATTGTAATACTTCATCAGATAATCGATTCAAATCTTTAAAAACAAATAATTGTTTTAAGCGATTGTTATATTAAATATTATTTAAATAGAATTACTTTTTAAAATAAATATTTTTACAGACAAAACTTCGAATGATATCTTCACGGTCACAAATTTCATTGAGTAGTAAATGTAAGAAGATCAGTATAAGGATTATTTTCATTGTGTTTTATAATCATAGAAGATAATTTGGTAAAACCTTAAGAATAGCATTGATCACTTGTAGAACAACAGATTGTATATCCCAAAAAAATTTATGAATCTGGATCAAGACATTACTTAAGTTATTCTAATAGTTGGTCAACAGCTGTGTTAATATCAAGGCTATCATTCAAAACATTTTCACCAAGTTGAAGAGCTTGTTATTAAAGTAATTGTAACTGAAATCATGATAGAACACTTGTAAGATAAGCAAAAATACTATTAAATTGATAGAATATAATAGCATATACCTAGTGAAGGCAGAAAAGTAAAGATTGCATTAAAATTGTATATATGAGGGGTATAAGGTTTGTTTTGAGCAAAAGTAATAGTAACGAAAAGAAAGATGAATTTAGCCAAGCAATGCATATTTGAAGGTATCCTATATCAAAATTAATTTAAGAAATCACTAGATTTGTAATACTTTTTACCCTTCATACATGCGAAAACTAACTGTTCCAGCTGTCGATAATTCTCAACTATCACTTACTATTCTTTATTTCGATCGTGCACTCACGTGTGGGCCGCAAAAAGAAAAGATAAAGTTACAAAAGTAATCTACAGTGAAATATAAGCTATTTCTAAATATGATAACGCAGATACAGAACGAGTAAAAAAATAAATTTCAGTGAAATGCAATTTCTATGAGTGCACTGTGCTTGTTGAATATTTATAAACGAACCACCAAACTAATAGTTCAAACTCAAACTTCTACTAGAAAATATGATTTTTAGATTGATGTTAGACTAAATTTTATCTTCGAACATAGTAATTCGCCAAACATTAGATAGTTTTAAGGTGTCGCTGTGGGTGTGGTTCTGAATGTATAAGTAAGAGTAGAATATAGTCATGAACTATATTTGGTCCCTCACACATCCATATTCATATGAGTTGAATTCAATATGTGTTCATTAGTTTACTAATAAAATTCAAGTCAAACATAATAGAGAAATGTACCAGTATAGTTTACATATTGAAACGATATTACATTTCCTCAAAATATTTATGAGAATATGATACTGACAATTCATAAGTACTGATACGATCTAAATTCTTCGTTGTTCAATATAGATATCAAATAAACTTTAGGTTTTGTGCTTCCATTTTCCCAAAAAATAATATTATTAATATGTATCGGTGTTCATCGAACTTTTGATAAGCATGCATTAACTTGAATATTATATATCTACATTTTATTTACATAAAAACCAAAGAACAAAACAATAAGAATTCAAAGTTAGTTTCTATTAATTCTACAATCTAATAAAGAACAACATGTTAAACACATACAAAAAAGTAACACATATGTATTATATAATAGCGATATTATACAGTACGTTTTTTTCCTCGTGAGCGGTACGTATCCTCGTCTGTCCTAGGCTTCCAGTACATATGAAACCTTGTGTGAGAGTTTTGTTTAGTATAGACAATCCATTCTCTACTTGTTGTATATTTTCTGCTGTTGTATTGTTCGATGCAGAATTTGTCGTCTCCATTATCATATTATCAGTACTATTACTACTGTCAGTAGCAATGGACAAGTTGATATTGTGTGCTGTATCAATTACTATAAATGATCAATAGCATACAATTGTGTATTATCTTCACATAACACGAAAAACTTACTTGTATTAGATGGTGTTGGAGAAGCGTCGATTGGAATTATGCTTCTGTCTATCTCCATAGGTATATCTTCTTCATTTACAATATTTCCTTCGTTATACTCACGCAGGAAATTTGTTTGTTTCCTAATCGAGTCGTACTTCTCCTAGTTCGCGTCGTCATACGGTTCTGGATCTGGTGCTTTATATATATATTCACCTTCCTCTAAATTTCAAATTAGTATATCAGATGAGACAATTATTACTATTCAATTTCTTGATCTTACTCATTATAATCTTGAAACTATTTTTGTCCCAGTAAGCCCGTTCGTGTATTTCTTCATCTGTCTTAGGCTCTCGTAATAAACTTCCAGCGTCCTCTGGATTCAATAAAACGATGGCTGGCATATTACCAACCAATAATTGACTTTTTTGCCGTTTATCTGTAGCCTAAAGTACATGAAGAAATGTAAATAAGCGAGTTTTTATCAAATGTATGTGTAAGAAAAACACTCACGTAGTACGGTACATTCGCCGTTAAAAGTGCTTTTTTCTCTGGAAAGTAATACTCTTTAAATTGATCCCATGGGACGTCATCGATTACTATGTATCGCGCATAGTTTTTCCAATTATCCAATGACCAACCACATTTGTAGTATTCTTCAGGTGCCTCTTCTTCGATTATTGCAATAGCCGACATAGGATTTTACTTGGCGATGGCAATAATCTTACGGCAAAACTCTGGATCAGATGTTTTTTTTACCTATGACAATTCAAATAGAAGTATTTACAACTTTATAATTATTCTTACTTTTAGACTTCGTATCTTTCAGAGTTGTACGTGAAGCCAGAGCTTCTTCCCATGTCGCCACTTTTTCATGATTATTTTTACTTTGGAACGTACCATATTCGACCAAGTCCGTACCTAATTATACCATGAAATGAGTATACTTTGCGGATGAGAGTGAGGGTAGAAACATATGTACAAGTTCTTGGAAAGAAATAGATTTACTTACTACGTTTGATGTAGTCATTCCAAGCATACTCATCAGTAGTTAATTGATAAAGCCAAGTAATACCTAAATAGAATGAAAGTTATAAACACTCCGATACATCGATATGATATCATTTTCCGTGCTGTTCTCAATACTACTTACCACCAGTGGCGTCATTTAAATATGGAGAATATTTCCGCATACCGTTTTTTAAAATAATTTGGACGTTGAGTCGTCGTTGGTTGTAATCATCGTCCTCTTCTGAACTCACGCAAATGTAGATGATGTTGCCTTTGAACATTTCGAGAATAGTGTTAAGAACTATCTCTTCTGTAAAAGAAAATTTTTATGTTGTAATATGATGTATGTGAACACGATAGAGATGACAAATCAAACATTGCAAAAAGAATGTGTGCTTTACTGAAATTGTACCCAGGATAAGAACCTTTTCGGCTCCATACGAAACTGTAGAACTTAGAAAAATTCTAGTAATTTTATATAGAACTAAAACGTTTCTTATCCTAGGCACAAGTTCAGTATAGCACATATTCTTTTTAGTATACACTGACGGCTTCTTTAAATAGAAGCTACTTATCTTACTTGGTTTGTCGCTTAAACCAGCGAGTGAGAATAATTTCGCGTCCACGCGAAAATCCTTGCCAGCCTTTTGTTTGCGTGCTGCATGTTGTCTTTTGTTGTCCTTGATAATTTTCTCTTTGTCCATTAAGTAGAAGTTAAAGTCATGACGTAATTTTTTAACGTCTAAAGTGACGCACGCAAAAATAAAGATGATCATAGAATAAATATATTATTTCCAAGCACGATATTTTCTTACCCCAATGTCCATAGAGAGCATATGGTTGATCGTGTTCCCCAACTGGTCCTGTTTGAACTGTTGGTGGATATGAGTATGTTGATGTTAATGTTGAGTTGGTTGATGTTGTATTAACGATTGAAGCCATCTTTGAATAAATATTAATTAATGAATAACACGTAAATTTAAATCTATAGAACAACTATTGTTCTTAAGCTCTTATTTTATTTTTGTTTTAGTTTTAGACATATACTTACAGTGGATATTTATTGAAATAATTGAAATTGGATTAATGATGTGAGAAAAGGTATACAAGTATACGAAATGAAGCCTATTATCTAAAAAACAAGAAAGTTGATCATCCATTTCACTTATGTGCCGATCTGTTTTGATGTGATTAACAAATTTATTGCATCTCACTCCCACTCACCTCATTCTCTAAAGAATTATTATTATGAATTCTTTTACTAATTTTTGAAGGATCTAAGTTGGATGTCGATGTAGGTGTGGATTTATCCTTTATTTACCTACATCCACAGCCACCAGTACCCGTACCAATTAGAGTAAACAAAAATAAAACTATTAGTAAGAAAAGATGAATCAGAGAAGAATGAGTAACCATGTAGGTGAGGGTATCCATTATTCATCTACATTCATACCCTCATACTCGCAGCCACACCTACCTTCAACAACAAAGAATGTATCATAGGATGAAAAAAGAACAACCACAAAAAGCATTGAAAGCTTTATTGATCGATTCATTGTACAGTTGAATTTTTTACTTATACATTTCTAGATATTCACTTAATAGAAATTAGATGTTTACTTATTAATTCTTTAATATTTTTTGTCTCAAAAATTAAACTACTTCATTGAAAATCTAAATAAATTATTTAGATTTGTGTTAAATAAAACATCTAGTAAAAATGAATTTTTTTTACTTAGCACATAAATAAATGCTCTTTAATTATATCCATCAATTCATTCTATCGTTACGTAAATAAAACAAAACGTTTCAAAAATAAAAAATGACTTCATCTCCCATGTAGTCTGCTGTTGCATCACCATGCAATTATAGTCATTATAATCGAAAATAATAAATTATAATGGCAATAACTATATGATAATCCAATAGCTGACCACAATGGTTGCAAATGTAAGAAAACGGTAAATGCGTCAAAAAATTTATCCAATATAAATTACTATGAAATACATAATAAAAAGACCTCCAAGTACACCAATTAGTTGTCGAAGTGAATGCCTATTAAAATAAAAATACAATCCTTAAAAAGATTCAAGTGCAAAAAAGTCTTACGCTAAATCATTTTCTTTTAATAAATCAGGTACTGTTTTAACTAATGCAACATAAAGGAAAGCGCCACTAGTAAATGGTAAAACCCATAGAGTACCTAAATTAGAAGAAATTAAAAATAGAAGAATACAATATAAACTCTATAACATACTATGAACAGAATTTGAATACAAAAGTGCAATAGAAGCACCAAGTACTCCTCCTAAACCAGTAATTATTTGTGCTTTGGTAGCTTGCCATCGATCAAAACCTGATTTTAAAAGTATTGCAAAATCTCCCATTTCATGAGGAATTTCATGAATTATAATTCCAGCTAATGTTGTTATACCAACTAATGGACTAATAGCAAAACTACCACCAATAGCTGCACCATGTGTTAAATTATCAATAAAATTTGCCAATAAATTTAAATAACCAGTTGTCTAAAAAAATTTATTTTATATTATTTCTTTTATAATCTTTATTTTATACTTTAATTTTTGAATCGGAATCTTCACTATGATCATCAGGAAATATTTGTTCAATAATAAAAAAAAGAAAAAGTCCAATAAGTGTCCAAAGACCAATATATAGTGATGATGCATGTGGATGTGCAAATGCTTCTGGTAATAAATGTAAAAAAACATCAGCCAATTGACTACCAACAGCTACACTTAATAATATTTCCAAATATGGTTTATTGGCTAATTAAATAAAAATAAATATTTATTACAAAATATAATAGAATTACTTTTGCTTTGTTCATTTGGAACAATAAATAAGGGTATAATACCAACAAGACCAACAGCAGCAGCACCAACTAATGCACTAATCCATGTTTGAATTGAATAATCGGTTAATAGCACTGTCATTATGTGAAAAATACCAGACAAAATAAAAAATATTCTACCTTTTACTAACGATATTACCCATGTCTTATATGGTTATGCGAATGCATGATGTACTTTTTCTTTATCCACAACATAGAAAGAAAGAAAAAGAAATATTTATGACCTTTCACATGATTCTCATCAATGAGTCATTCACATATGTACTTTTTATCAATAGAACATATATAATCAAGACATTGCATACTTTTTTTTTCTTCTGTCCCCATATCAGACATTGTTATCAACCATATGACATAATAGCGTTGTATTTTAATTATCAAACACATCTTGATAGAGATCCAGTTTTTTTTTGTCTATCAATAACCAGAAAAATTGAATACAAGTACAATTTAAACACACTTCCTTTGTACATATGTACGAACAGAATAAAGAAAATTTATTGATCAATAAGCACACCACTATTGAACACGACGAATATTTGTTCATTAATAATTATCTTCTCTGCCAATAATTTATTTTTTCTGTTGTGTCTTCATGTTATATGTAAAGATAGTACTCTCATTCTCCACATGTATCGAAAAATTGAATCAATTAATTGAACATTTATATTTCAAGGCAGCAAAGAAAGAGAATGAAGGAAATATGATTTATTCAAATATCACAACAATATGAAAACGATGTAGTAAACATAGATCTCTTAAAATCAATGACAGAAATGTATCTTATGGTTAATAGAATTATACAATATTTAATTTTGAAATTGAAGATATATAAGTATCAGCAAGGATTATGAGCAATTTCACCTTTAAGAAATACATTGTGGTATACTATTTTAAAATGACTGTTATATTTTCTTTGATAGTTCGCAAATATTAAGTAAAAATAATGTGATTTATAATATAGATAAACCTTTGATCTTTTTTATTTCATTCAACTGACATTTTATCATTCATTTAAGACTTCATTTTGTAAGAGATTTTTTTAAATACTTAAATAACGATATATAGTTTTATTTTAATATTAATTAATTCACAAATCATAATAAACAGAAAAGAAAAAAACAAGCAATTTCTCATTCTTGTCTTTTTCTTAAAATAGTCACTATAAATCAATGGATGGATGAAACGAACTGGAATCAAATTCTTCAACATATATAAACTATACGACTTATTAAAATATAAATTATAATCATGAACATGAACATAAATATTATATTTTTTGGTCTATTACTCAACCGACTAATATGACAACTAATAAGTGCATTTGATATCTCTACAAGAATACATCTAATCAACGAGTACTATCAAAAAAAATGTTTTCTAAATTTAGAAAAAAAGATAAATAATTTTTATGCAACTGATTTATTCATTGTTCTTTCTAATTACTTAATGAATTTTCTATTGACTATAATTGATTTTCGTAAAATAAAATCTTTTTAATCAATAACCAATAAATAAAAGATTTTCTATTGAGAAGAACATCATATTCTTTTTAATAATAACAAGATCAGTATCATTTTTCTTTATATTATTGATGATAGTATAGAAAATTCTACGGATAATATTTAAATAGGATTCGAATAGATCAGGTATTGATACTCGTATATGACGATCAAAAATAAATATTTTAATACTTTTGTAATAGTATTAACATTTTTTTTACGTTTAATATCTTCATATAAACTTCTTTATATATATATATCAATTCAATCGTAATAAAATTTCTCTTTATTAAAATAATTGTAGAGAACTTATATTAGAATAGGATATATATATCTTGAAAATTATTAACATGACAATGAAAAGTTTCATTATAATATACTAACACATAAATGCTAAATTATACAATGTTTACACTCCTCGGACATTTATAAATAAAACTCTTTTTTTAGCATGAAATGTTTTTGAATAATAGAAGACTAATTTCATAGATTAATTCCATTATAAATGTAAGATATATTCAAAAAGATTCTATTCTAAGTTGTTAAACTTGTACTTATGAAAGAAAAAAAAAAGGCGTGAGAGATTATTTTTGCTTATCTGAATAATATCTAGTGACAATCTATATAGAAAAAAAAAACTATAATCTAATGAAATCATTCAGTTGTATACCATAAAAAGAAGAAACAAATCGTTAAAAATAAAAGAAGATTTAATAGTACTTTTAGTAACAAGATTGGTATGATGAATGAAACAAATTCTGATATAATAATATCATCTGAACCTGAACTTTATCGTTATTTAAAATTATGTATATTTGTAATATTAGAAATTCCATCAATATTAATATCAATTTATATAATTTATCAATTTATTCATTCTCGTCAATTTCGCTCACGTTTAAATAATCATTCAATAATGGCATTAATTATTCTTTCATTTATTGAAACAACATCGGAATTACCAATAGCACTTCAATATCTTCGTTTAGGTCATGTTCAACCAATGAATTCGAATTTTTGTTTATTTTGGATTTGGTTTAATTTTTCTCTTCAAACAACAAATTTATTTTTAATGGGTTGGACTTCAATTGAACGACATATACTTATATTCCATTCAGGTTGGGTTCAAACAACAATAGGAAAAATTAAATGGCATTATATTCCATTAATATTTTGTTCATCATATATTCCATTATTTTATTTATCATGTGTTATTATATATCAATGTGAAAATGTATTTGATTATTCATTATATTTATGTGGTTCACCATGTTATAATAATATAACTTGGTTATCAACATTTGATTGGACTACAAATATGTTAATACCATCAGTAGCAATACCATTCTTAAGTATAAGTTTATTACTTCGTGTTTTAATTCAAGCAAAAAAAATGAAACGATCATTAAATTGGCGATCAACAAGAAAAATGACATTACAATTAATTGTTATTTCAATACTTTATTTAATATTTTGGTTTCCATTGGCATTAATATCACTTATACGAATTTATTTTATTCCAACATTTCTAAATGATGTAACTTTATATTATTTAAATTATACACCATATCTCGTACAACTTTTAATGCCATACGTATGTATTGCTTGTTTACCAGAAATATGGCCAAAAAAGATTCGAATTGATACAACAACAACCACTATACAACATGGACATCAAACAATTAATAAAAAATAAATTTTACAAAAGACAAGAACTAATTCTTTTTAAAAAATAAAATAAATATTTTATTTATTTGATGTTGTTCTTATTTTCAAATAAATTACCTTTCTTTTTATTTAATTTATTCCATGAAAAAAAGACAAAGTGAATCGAACATGAAAAAATCAAAATGTACATAATGATCACAGTAGAATAATTTAATAATACATATGTAAATATTTTGCATATCCTTTGTCAACATTCACATCCTCAAAAAAATATTCATTTGAGATGAAAATATTATTAATACGAAAAAATAACTTCATGTTGAAGTATTAAGTGATGTGAATAAATTTATTTTTTTTATTCAGTAATTTGTTAACTCCTCTATATTGTTCTAAGATCATATTTGAACAAAAACATTTGTTTATTATTTTATAAAATTATTAAAATAAATGAGTTTTGTTTTTCACAAGTTTTTGTATAGAGTAATACGATCAATATATTTGATTCTTTTATAATATTCTATATAAAAGAGAAAAAAAAGCATTCATATACGTCAATACAATGTAACTCAATAAAAACAAATTATTCCCTTCGGTGAAATTTAAAATTAGCATGCTATTGGAATTTTCAATTGGTTACGTCTATATGTTCGTTTACTGTGTGTAATAAAAATTATTATTTTGACACAGTTTTTTCTTATCGATTAACACACAATTTTTTTTTATAATGTTTCTTTCTCGACCGTTACTATACATTCAAACGAAATAGATTCTTTCTTATTCTTTACTCGATGAGTAGGTAAAACACGTGGTAATCGTCATTCTTTTTCGCGGAACATTAAAATAATATCTTTTCTTCTTTTTTTTT